GATTTTGCTTAAGCATCGCATATATTTTACCTGCGCCGGTGATTTAATGTCTGGCGACATAATCTTCCACTTGGCACTCGCTTCCCTGCCATCACGTTTCTATATATACGAGTGTACCTATATAGTACATGCGTCGGTTGCGTATCCTGTATTCTGTATCCTGTATCCTTATCGCCGTGTCTTTAAGCCGCCTGCAAATCCGAATCCATTTCCACGGGATTCCATTAGGGAAAGGGATCCTGGGCAAACAAAGAAAAGCACACACAATCACACACACACTCAACTAGGGTGTGGTGTGTGCCATATCCACACTTGAATACTCGGCAGCAGCGAAAAACAATTATGTTGGAATAACACGGCAACGTATTTTTGTTCTTGAAAGCATGACAGTCTGTTGGTTTTGCTTTATCTGCGTGTTTTCTTAGCCGAATCTGATTAGAAGGAAATTAATCCCAAGGGGCTTTAAACTATTGCATTAATGCTATGTTTAGCTGACTAAGCCATAGTTTATCTCGTTTAATTGTGCCTCAGGGCTTAAAATACCTTCCAAATGATAAGTTACCTTTAGTTCTACCAATTTTACACAGTGTACTTAACACAAATAGTGAGAAAACTTTGGGCAGATAAATATGCTTTTGAGTGAAAAACATGTGTAGGTGTTTCCATCAAATATTTTCAGGGGGAAAACACAACAGCATTCTGACGAACGAATAAATAAACAAATACTTCCGAACTTGGCTAGAAAGGACCTTCTACAAATAGAAGCTAATGAAGGAAGCATTTTCCCGCCCAAAAGAAAACAAGAGTTGCTTTCACTTGCGACTTCTTGTCGACTACCGACTACCGACTGCCGACTGCCTTTTGCAATTTTTATTTTCATAAATTCTCAAAGCATGTTTGCCAGCTCATAAAAACGCAGCGCACACAACCGCCTCGCCGTTTTCACTTGGAGGAAAAGCCGGGAAAGCCCAACCCAAGTGGCTCATAATCTGAGCAATTTGCTTGCGTTTTATGTGATTTTTGTTGCTAGTATTAGTGGCTGTAAAAAAAACACACACACACACATACACCCCAGATGAGCAAGGGTGTCGGTGTGGAAGTGTGTTTTCTGCATCATTTGTATGCAAATTGGAAGCATTTTTTTGAGATCATCACATATGTAGACAAACGACTGCATGTGCAGGCGACTTTCGCCAATTGAAAATATGTATAATCAATCTCCCTTGTCTAGTATTTATCAACTTTGGATCCAAATCAATTACATTCCCCACTATTTTATCTGGATTGAATGCCAGCGGACGGAGATGCTTCGTTCCCTCGTCCGTTGATTGGCAACCAGCCAGAAAAAATTATCCAATTTAAAAGTCAAATGTCATTTTTTCGTATTCCCTGCACGCTGCTTTTGCTTGTTGCCTAGTGTTGTTTTTTCTTGGCGCCATTGCCGACACATAATGTGAATTACCCAACAAAGGTGGCCCTGTTGATGAGTTGACGACGAGCACAAAAAGGAGCGCAAGGTAACGGGCCGCCATTTGCATTACAGCCTCTTCGAATATCCTTTCGAAAAAGTATTCTTACTATAAGCACAAGTATGCTTTTCTCTAGAGAATTATATTTCTGATTGTTGTTACAAGTTTAAGCATTACGTTTATAATTTTATACAGCAAAGGATCGGTATTTTTTAAAGCGTAAACTATTATTATTATTAAAATATTTTAAAGTAGACAATAAAACAAATGGAATTCTCCCCACCTTTAACGTATTATTTTGTATGCTGTTTGTAATAAATAAATTGTTAAATTAATGCAATATAATAACAAACACATTTAAATATAACAAGCAAAAGATTTTAGAGCATTCAAACTTTGCTTAGCGGAAACTCAGGTGCTTTATTTGAATCTTATTTTTGACGGTTTTTGCTTCCGTTTCCGTTTCTCTTCTATTTGGGCAAAAGACATTTCATTCTTTCTTTGGCAACGACAGAAAAATTACCCGAATTTCATTTAACGCTTCAACTTTGTCACCGGCAGCAACAAGGACACTCCTCACACACACACACACACATAAAAATTCACAGACAGCCATAGTGTTGTGCTCATGCAAAGCAAATGCGTTGAGTTTGTTAATCTGTTTGCATAAATTTGCAGGAGCGAAAAAGAGGGAAAAACTGAGACTAGGATGTGTTTGGGACCTGAGTAAATGCTTAAACGAGACAAAAACAACGAAGAGTTGGAAGGTTTAGTTTTTGTTGATACACAGAGAGAAAACAGAGCCTTAAAGGATTTAAGTCTTAAGTCTATAGAACTAAATTAAGATTTATAAATTCAGAAATTGGAAGTGGGTCATATGTTAATAGTGATATATGTATCTTTAACATATAATATCTTTTGCAATCTAATAATTTATACAAATTTTTTGATGTATAATCAAAATATTTGTGAGGAAAATATAAATCTGGTTTATCCAAAAGAATAGTTTCCTAACTATAATTAAACTTTAAGTAAATAAAATTAAAGTGATTCCTTTGTCACAATTTTTACTCCTAACAATTTTGTTTTCAATGGAGAATGTGTGTCCTTGCCTCCTAGTTTTGGACAATCCAATTGCTTTAGACCTTTCTGGGCAAAGGACTGTCCGTGGGCATTAATCAGACTAAGCACACTTTTACTTCCAGTCGCAGATGCAATTGCTCGTCCCTGGGAAATTGGATTGTTAGTTTTGAAACATTTCCGTCCACGTGTGCAGAAAAGGTGGGGGCTCTTTGGGGTCGAACTGCCTGCATCAACAGTCACTCACCTGTGACGTAGGGAGGTTCTGTTGAACAAAAAAAAAAAGAGAAACGTGGAGCTGTCAACTAGTTGCCATCTGCCCGCATGCTGAGTCGAGGGGGTTTCGCTGTCAAGGGTTAAGTGCACGAGAACGGCACTCTTAACCCCCTGCTGCCCGCTCGTTTGTCGTTATGCATTAGCCGTGTCGGCAGTTGAGTCACGGGCCAACAAAAGTCCGGAACCGGATTCAAACTCTGGTCCTTTACACTCCGGAGACAACATTTCCAATTGCCGACAGCAAAGCCATTGGCAAAAAGGACCAAGGTTCTGTTGTCCTTTCTGCGGTGCCGTTTGACTTGCTCTGGCATTTATGAATAATATATACTAGCACCCTCATTCCCCGGGGATGTCAATTGTTTATTTATTGCCCGATTCGATGGCCCCTCCACTTCCCACTGCCGCGACACTTGCATCTACAAAATTCATGGGCTCTGGTGTGACAGTCGAAATAAATTCGCAAACTACGTTTGTGCGGGGTGAAGGTTGAGGAAAACAAGTTTGTTTAAGGAAAAAATAAAAACATTAAACTATGCTTAATATGGAAATCACTTTCTTGAGATACCACTAGGGTTAAAGAAAATGTTTTGTATTTTTTTATTATAAAGCCAGCAATAAGAAATGTGCCATAAATCTTTAACAAAAGTAGTTTCTAAAAATCCTTAAAATATCATAAAAAATAGATACTTAAACTCTTCTACCAACTGCAACTTAATCTGCACTTATCACACATAGTGCCGCATGATCTGAAGCTCAAAAGTGGGGGTCTCACCTCCTTGTGGCCGGAGTGTCAATTACTCTTGCTGCCATCGCCATTATTTCCTCTTCCCCATCCTGAACATCCTTCCCCCACCAATATCTCCACTTTCTCCTTTCCCCAACCATAAAGCCATTGTTGGCAGTGTGTTTGTTGGCTGTCTGTTGATGTTTGGTCTCGCCTTGGAGAAATTTTTATGGCTCATAAAATTCGAAATTAGAACTGGTGCTGCCTGTGTCTCCTCAAGCTCTATAGTATTCGTGTACTATACAGTGAGTATATATATATATGTATATGTGCCTTTGTGCGGTGTATAAAATGTTTATGCTCTGCTCATCGCCGTTAAGCGCTGAGAAATCTGGACCCGCCAAATGGATTTTCTTTTCAGAATTAGTATTACATTTAAATGGCGTATAATTTGTTAGCGCCATAATATTTATGCGAGCTGTGGCCGTACACTTTTATTTATGTTCACTTGGCTGCCGACTCGCCGCCTCTTTGGTTTCCCTTGCCGCCTCGACAATCCCCCAGCTGACAATCAAAGCGCACTTCTTTGAAATCGCGTTTAATTTGCGTGCTCGAGGCTCTTGCCTCTTTTTTTTACCGCCCCACAATGCAGCGGTGCCACGCGGCGTATGCGCAATTTTCGCGTCCTCTCACTCAACGACTTCTGGGGAAACAATTATTTATTTGTGTTGTTTTTCCGCTGCGTAGATGTGGAAATTTTTAATTGCCGCCTTAAAGCGAACATGAGAGTATGACTTTTCGCTGCCGCAGATGCTTTTGCCGGTCCGGCAGCCCGATTACGCTAACTTGCCTTCTCGGAATTCAGGGAATTGCGCACGACCTTCACTCTCATTCAAGGCAACACAAAAATCACATAATTCAAAGAAAACATTTTGTTTGTATCCTCACAAAAAAAAAAATGGGGAAAAGGGAACGCAGCAAAGGGCATAAAGAAATAGAAATTGTAAGAGGGAAAATTATGAGAATACCGAGGAAAATAGTGGAAAAAAGTTAAGACAGCGAGCATCCTAGGAGGATACAAGCATGTCATTATCTGAGATTCTTAATAAGGCTTTTTTATGAAACACTCAACGAAAATATAAGTGTATTTGAAACTCTAGTTTTAAAGCTAAGAAAAAATCAAATTAAAAGGAAGGTTTAAATAAAACAAAAAGTTACTAAACTTTAAATGCACAAATTGAATTCTATAGTATTTTTTCCTTTGAATATTTTTCACACAATTTTTTTTTAGTGTGACTTCTTAGCTTTTGATGAAAGCCTCACCTTTTGCTTTTGCTTCATTTCGGAACTTATCATACCGTGTCCATCATCAAAGTTCATCATGGAGCACTCACCTTACGCCAGACTCCCTTTGGTTAATCATTGGATTTTCTCTTTTGATTCCGTTTCAGGATTCCGCACCGAGAATTAGAGCACACGGAGAGTGAGTGGGGTGAACGGGGCAATGGGCGCCTTAACGACGACAGCGGCGCTTATGACCATCCGCCCGAACCTGCGGCGGGCCACGGTGCGGATGCGTGATATTCCCGACCTGGCCCTTGACAACTGAGAATGCCAAAAGGTAGCAAGAAGGCAATTGCGCCGGCACTCGCTGCGAATCGATAACCGCACAGCACACAAAGTGCTGATCAGCCAATCAAGGCGAGCAACTAAGCGATATAGGGGCACCACCCAAAAGCAGCAGCACCACCCACCACCCAAAAAAAGAAAAAAAGTCGGAGGAGAGCAGCAACAAAAAAAGAAGAAGGAGGAAGGAATAGCGAACCCCGAGCCCCAGGATGCGGATGTGGATGTGGATGCCGCAGGCTGTGCAGCTGCTGTTTGTGATGGGCTTGTGGGTGCTGCAAGGTCAGGCTCAATTGGAATCAGATTCAGAAATGGAGGCAGCGGGAGGAGGGGTAGGAGGAGCAGCAGGAGGACCAGCGGGAGCTGCAGGATCCCCACGGAACCGCATCAAGGCGGAAGCGGATGCCCTGATGACGGGCGACAGCTTCAACATTCGCCACGGGCGCTCTCGTTCGCATTTCCTCCATGGAAGCTCCAGCAGCAGCAGCAGCAGCAGCACAAATGGCAGTACAAGTGGCATTGGTGGCACCACCCGCCTCCTCCTGGTCACGCCCACCCCGCAACCGGGGGCGGGTGGCACATCGCCGGCACCCGTCACGCATAAAATCCGCAAATTGCACAAGAAGAAAATCAACGAGAGCATACGCAAAAGTGTGGACAAAAGCCTGGGCCTCCTCCATCCGCCGAAGAACCATCGCAGCTTGGCGGAGGCCGAGCATCTGCAGGGTCGTCCTGCCAGCGAGGACGCCGAGGACACGGCCCTCAGCGAGGTCATGCAGCTGGCGGACGAGATTGAGCTGGAGAGTTCATTCGCCACGGTGGCTCCGCTGCCAGGTGATCCGGATATCGGTGTCGGTGGCAAACAGGCGCGCCAATTTGTTCGTGATGAGGCCAATTACCAAGGGGATGATGGTGGCGATGATGGGGATGGAGATGATGGTGACGATGATGACGATACACTGGAGGAGGAGGAGGAGGCGGAGGAGCTACCCTCGTCCACCACAAGCAAACCGAAAATGGCCAGAACTCGTTTGTTGCCAGTGAATGGCACTTGGGAGCGAAAGCCCAGTGATTCCTCCTCCGAATCGGATTACGGGAACAACGAGGATGAGGTGCCACCCTTTGGCAAGCTGAACGAGAGTCTCAGCACCACGGAGTGGATGGACGAGGGTCAGCGGGAGTCGCGAAATGAACCCGAGGCGGAGGCCAGATCCCAGGCAGCCAGCATGGAGATCAAGCAGATCAGCTTCGACAGTGAAATTGATTCCGATTCGGATTCGGATTCCCTGCTGGACACCTCCGAGGTGACCATGGATGATGGCTATCCACCAGATGTGCAGATAGATGATAAAACTAAGCAGTTGGTTATTGGCGATGTGGAGGGTGAGGATGGGGGTGATAATATGGAGTCCAGTCAGATAACCGCCGATGTGATAAATGCGCGGGATAGTAAGATCGATCTGGTGTCCAAGTTCCTGCAGTACATCGAACAGCAGCACCTGATGGGCTCCAACTGTGTGGCGGGGACCTCCCTGAATCTCGGAGAGGGCGTGGTCGACCGGTATGCCCAGGACAGATTCCGGGTGGAGGCCGAGGTGGCCGTCAATCGCGCCAATATGCTGACCAGGTGAGTGAATGTGTCAGGCGAAAGTTTTTCACCCAATTCGGCCCACATCATATTATTCACATGCCAAACTTTTCCAATCGAAAGTTTTTTCGGCCAGACGGTTGGCAAATGCAAGTGGAAATGGATTCCGAAGTTAATGCGCACAGTTGTGGCTAAGAAAATAGTAGTATTCCATTGAAGGTTGTTTCAAGGGCAGTTAAATGAAATTATGGCAATGAGTTTAATTGGATTTATTTGGAGGTTGATTTAATGAATAAACAAGCTGAAAATGAAGGGTATACTATTTCATGGGGAATGTAATTAAAGGGGAGTAAAATTTAATATTAGGTAGATTTTTTTTTAACTATTGTTTTGACCACAACTGTTAACTCAACTATTTGCTTGAGATGAACGAAGGACACTTGGGCGAAACTAAGGGGAACCCTGCCTTCTCGAACTTATGTATTTGGTTATATTCAATCCATAGTTATATATCGCCATATATCGTTGATTCCTCCTCCACTTGTTCTTCGACTTCCGCGGGAAGTAAATCCTCTTCGGATGGCGAGAAATCGTTGACGATGTGGAAGGTCTGGCGAATCTCCTCCGCGGTGTGGCCCTTGATCATGTTGGCCACCGTCAAGCAACCGGCGTTCATTAGATTGCGAATATCCAGATAGTTGGCCGCGAGGATAAGCTCGAAGAGAGTGCCCTGATCCATGGTCAAAAACGAGGCGTCCCACTCGCTAATTTCCACAATTGGCTGGGCCGCTTCCTCCGCATTCTCCTCCTCTTCATTATCGGCTTGATGGTGCTTGGCCCAAACGAGAACCTTTTTCAGAATGTTCGAATTCACATTGGGCAGCGGAATGACGGGGTCGTTTTCCGACTCCAACCCACAATCCTCCAGCAATGTTTTAATGGTACTCGAACACTTTGCCGTTTCGGAATCCACGTCGAAAATTTCGCCATCAGAGGACTGCAACTTGATGACCGGCATGGTTGTTTTTGTCCCCCTTTCAAAAGGGGTTCCTTTTGGATTTTAAACAATACTACTTTTTACGAGAATAAACCGGAAAGTGCCAGTGTGACAGTTGAAAACTGAAATGAGCAGGATATGCGATGAATAAATTGGGGAAAAAGTGTGGTTGAATCATCAGTCTTCCTATGAAAGGTTTACTATTCGAAAAGCTATGTTGCTGCTTTAAGATATTTTATTTTGATTTAATAAACCTTTTTACGAGAATAAATCTGAAAGTGCCGAAGTGACAGTTGAAAACTGAAATGAGCAGGATATGCGATGAATAAATTGAGGAAAAAGTGTGGTTGAATCATCAGTCTTCCTATGAAAGGTTTTCTAAGCTTTGTTGCTGTTTCAAGATATTTTATTTTGATTTATTGTTCAAAACAAAAACAGACAAGAAAGGAAACATTTGAAGACTGTTTTTACAAGCGGGGAAAAACAAAAACAACCTTCATTCTCCAGTTAACATCGTCGATGTTCGCCGTTCTTCATTCACGTCTGAGTAGTTATTCGCCAATTTCTGCTCATCCAGATTGGCAAGTGGTCTTTGTCAACAACGAGTATAATGTGCTTTTCTTGTTGCGGTGGGCCATAGTTGGCAGAACTACCTTCGGTTTCCCAACGATTTTCTCCCGTTTTCCGCGCGGCTTTTCACTTCGAGCTCGCGTCTGCTTGACTGCGTGCAATTTTTTTTGATAAAAGTTCAATTACTTAGCGGAGCGGGCGTGCCCGGAAAAAAGTTTGCGGCATTCTTCTGGCCAAAAGCAAAACAAGGAGCAGAGGACATTGATTTACCTGGACGACCGAAACGATGGCAATTCATTTGGTTTTTCTTCGAATTTCCAGCTGCCCGAGCCGAGCAAGCTGATATGAGCCGTGTTTTTGGCTTTGGGTTCCCATCATCGATTGGCCAGAGTGTCCTGTATCTGGATAAACGTCCAAGTGACAATCCCAAGGACATGGCTGCCCTGCACCCACAGAAGTTTTGCCATCATTTTTTGAGCTCTGCTCCTCGATTTTCTCCCCAGCAGCCAAGCACAATAAACACAAAGTTTCATCAGATGTCGCATATGTGGGTCTGAAGTCCTGTGTCCTGTGTTCTGTGTCCTGTGTCCCATGTCCTGTGTCCGGTTATCCTTGCCTGCATACAAGCATATCCTTGTGTCGGAGTCGATGGGCATGTGCTCCGTGCAGACATTAGACCTGGAATTTATGTCCCTCTGTTTTTCTTTAGTTTCTTTGCTGGGTTCTCCTTTTGGTTTGTGGCGAAGCAATAGAAAAATCAGTAAAAAAGTTAATGTTTTTATAAGCATGGGTGTGGTCGGTTGGTTTGGCTTCGTGCAACAGGCCATTGGCCATTTGCCATTGTCCAGGGGATGTGATTTGGCCAAGTTTTCTGTGGGACGGAAGTCGTCACCAAATTCCAATGACATAATTTTCCAGCAAAGATAACAACTTTCTGCCCACTGATTGCGGTCGAAAATCAAAGCCATTTGTTCGCGAAAAACTCATTTGTTAAAAGCCAGAGTTAAGTAAACGGCGATACGACAACAAGTTGAGAAAGCCAAGGAACAAATGCCGCTTGTCAATAAAACGCACAAAATAAACAATTAACCCAGCCGACGACGAGCAGTTTGACAAATTAAGTGACAGAGGGAAAAGGCGAGGGGAAAGGCGAGGGGAAAATTCGAGGAAAATGGGAATGTGAGAAGGCGGACAGTGTTGTAACTTGGCCTGGGGAGCAATAAAATGTCAAAGTCTCACTGCTGTTAACGTCGAATGTCAATAAATTAAATTGTGCCCCACCACCACCACCAGCGGATCCGGTTCGGGATCAACATTATTGCATTTAGTGTCATATGCCAGACATTTGTTTTCATTATTCGTCCAATGGGGAATGTGGCCTTCGGGAGTGAGTCGAAAACCAGAAGCCTCCGTTGATTTATCCACTCCGCCTGCCATAAATTTCGATGCCAGATATACAGCTGGCCAAATCCCCGGTTCATAATTTTCGAGAGCGATGGCAAAAGCGAAGGCGTCGGCTAATCAGGCCTCGTTTTAATCAGTTTTGCTTGTGTTAACATAATCAAGGGTGCCCGTAAAACTTTTGTTTGGGCGGGCAAAAAGGAAATAACAAGAGAGAGGAAAGGGAAAAGGAAAAGCCCGAGGTTCGTGGGAAAGCTACACAGATAGATACTAATTGAAGTTATTGTTTTGTGATACATTGTTATCGCTTTCCCAAGCCCAAGCCAAGGAAGGATCCTGTCTGCTGGTCCTGTTCCCGCTCACTTTTTGTGTTTGGGCATTTCCCGTTTACTTTGTTGCGCAAACAAAAACAAGAATAACATTTAAGGAAAACAAAAGGGCGGCGCGCGGGGCACTGAATTGAAGGTGAGTGAGTGAAAAGGGAGGGCTAAATGGCAGTCAGGAAAAACAATATCAATTCAAGTTGAAATTACGAGCTTCAATTGTTTTCTTGCCTTGGCCACTTTTCGTTAGTTTCCGTTCACGCCGCCAAAGTGAAGGCGGCAACACATAGAAAAGGGAAAAACGAACACACACACACCCACACACACACAACAAGGCACAAAGTGTGGCAACATGGCGGATGGAATCGGAAAACTTTTAAGTACTTTAATGTGTTGTCGTCGTCGAGTGAAGCGGAGGTGAGAAGCGTGAGTGAAAAGCGTAGGACCTGCTGCTACGGCTTGTCCTGAAATTGAGTTTCCGGTCGCTTTTCCATTTTCATCTTTCAACTCTTTCAGTTTTCCCTCCTCCGACCTGCTACTTGCTGGCTTGGCTTCAAGTGCACATCTCTCAATTCTCAACCCCCCTTCTTCTATTTGCCAGGCAATGATTTTGTTTTCCAGCGGAAGTTCGGCGATAAACTTGGCAAATAATTTATTGCCTCGCCGTCGCTTGTTTCAATTCTCAATGCCTTTTGGAATTCGAGTGGCATTTGCGCTCGGTTCATACAACAAATCGAAATTGAAATCTGCATAAGCGATGCAGTTTCCAATTGCCAGCGGCAATAAAACGCGACAGCGGCAAGGACATCCCCGAAGGAGGCTCCCCCTCCCCCTCCTCGTCGCCGCGTCATTGTCAACATCCTTCAAAAGTTCTTCAAACGGAAGCAAACAAATATCTATGCAACCCAATGTTCAGGAAACTGTTTTCCACAGAGAAAAAAGGGAATACCTTGAAAATATTATGTTTAAAGGATGTTTTTATAAAACCTATTTGAAAGATATTTATTTCAAACCATCGTATTTAGTTTTTGTGTTTTCAAAATGATAATAAATATATTATTTTTACTAAGATATTTTTACTTCTTATTATCACTCTATACATCTAGAAATGTTTTAAAAATATATAACATTATTTTTTTTTGCTGACGTTTGAAAAATGTTTAGTTATTGTATAGTTAAAGGTTTTTATTTTATTTTCTTGATTTTACACTTTTGTAGAATTTTTTTTTAGTGCAGAATGCAAGGTCATATAATCCATTATTCAGCTAGTTTTCTTGCAGTGTTGTTGGCTTTGGGACTTTGTGCCGCTTGATTTACTCGACTCTGCTTTGCCCAGCGGGTGGTGCTAATAACGCTGCCTTTCCCCGTCCGCCTCACCTCCCCTCCTCCCCCTCCTCCCCTCCTCACCCTCCTCACCCTCCTCCCCTCCTCCCTCTCAGCCCCCTTTAAAACCTGCCACGCCCACGAACCTTTTGCTTCAGCCATTTTTATTGTTCGCCGCAGCAGAATGCAGTTGTCTAGCCCCAAAATGGAAATTGTTTTCATTTTGCGCAAAACAATCCTAATGTGGATTTTTATTCCCCGCCCCCGCATGAAAATCCGCAAGTGCAACTGCAACTGAAACTGAAACAGAAACTGAAACTCAAACTGCCAGTGACGCGGACATGCATCCTTTTGTAGGCCACCGACGGAAGGGATCCCCCGCTGGGTTAAATGGGGGATGGACCCCGGAGGAGCCACCGCACCACTGCACCACCGCCTCTGCAGCACAGGAGCACCACTCTGGTCTCGGCCCTTTTTCCAGCTGGTTTATTTCGGCTCCCTCACATCTGGGCTTGACTCTTGTGCCGACGAATCCTGCTGCTGCCCTTGTCTGCATCCAAAAGCCTGCTGGCGATGTTGGATGTAAATGGTTTCGCTTCTGATTCTGGTTTTGGCTCCGGTGATTCCCCTCTGTTGAGGCCCCTTCACAAGGCTACAGTCAAGCTCGTCTAAGCCAGACCAGCAACTGCCAGTTAGGTATTTAACTCGATTTGTGCCGCGAAGGTTTTAGGCAAATGCTTTAATTTCCAGTCGTGTTTTAATAGTGTTTAGAACTCCATTTTGGGGAAGTCGTATAATCGTAACATAATTAAAACTATAAGGGTAAAATAAATGTATAAATACTATAACTTTATATTGAGTTTAATTAAAAACTGATTAAACAAAAGTCGTACAATTATTGTCAAAAATAAATAAAGGTATTTTAAGAGCTTTCTGAAATTAAAAAAGTCATATTTACCCTTAAAATACGATTTTTTTGATTGATTAAATTAAACGAATGTATTTGTGATTATACGAAACCAATTTGTTGTCAGTCCCAAACCAAAAAAAAAGGTATAATAATATCATTTTACTTTCTTACTATACTTGGTCAAAAGGAAATAAAGGTATTTCAAGAGCTTTCTGAAATTAAAAAAGTCAGGTTTATATGATTTTGTTGATTGCTTAAATTAAACAAATATATAAATATATAATATGAAACCAATTTGTTGTCAACCCCAAACAAAAAACACTTATAAAGAAAAAACATCTATAATAATATCATTTTACTTTCGTAGTTCTTTACATTTCATGAATTTTAGTAAAAACACAACTCACAATATTAATTTTCACTGGCGGCTCATATTCACTTCGAGTTGCGAAAGAGCTGTGAAAGTTGTATGCTGTTGTTGTAGTAATTGAAATAAAACTGTTGAAAGTTTGGTCGCTTAGCGCTCTTTAAACTCAATTTAGTTGGTTTTCAGAGCGATTCGACTTGTGGCAAATCTGCCGCGAATGCTCCGCTTTGCTTTTTGGTTAACCTCCTTCGACTGGCTTACAAAACTAAGCGACTGCAGCGCAGTTTGGCGCGCTTTGTGCAACACATGTTGCCATAACTTAACAGCTTAACAAACTTGTCGAGTGTGCCCCGAAAACAAGTCCTTCGCCGCGGTCGCTTTCAAGTGGCTGGCTGGCCCACTTGGCGGATGCGTAACGTTTAAGCCAGCACGGCAGCAAAGCCGCAGAAGCAGCAGCAGCAGCAGCGGCAGCCGCAAAGCTCCCATTCTGTGAGTCTATTTTTACGCAATAAAAACATTTGGATCGAAAGCCAGCGCCACAGACAGAAGAGGCGGCCAAAGTTTGTCTTTTGGCAAGAGCTGAAAGGCGCGAGTTCTCGACTCATTATGCTCGGCGGCAGGAAATCACAAAAGGGAAACTTTTTCGGCCAAAATGTTTGCCAACTTTACGCCCTCCCAAATGTGCGCCTGCAATAATAATCATCGGGCTGGCAAAGTACGTTGAAAAGAAGTTACCAAGTTGAAAGCAATTAATGGACTAAATCAAAAAGCATTTTTTGAACAATAGAACGAGTGGAGGATGGAGTGAAGATGGAATGGGGTTCGTATGGCCAGCATAAACATGTCAACAACAAGTGCCTGGCGGCTCAATTAGCCACAAGCCAACAGAGCAGAAACCAGGCAACCAAACTGGGCCAACATGGGGTAACTTTTAATTAATTGAACTCCTTTTCCTGCTTCCTAATTGAACACACCCACATACACATATACACTTTCATATCGTAGAAGCTCCCAGTGATTTCCCTTTTTTGCGACCAACTTTTGATCCTTTGTGTTTAATGTCAAATTGGGTAACAACATTCCCTGGCAAATTTAGCATATATTACATATTTTATATTTTTACTTGGCTTAACGCTTGGGAAACTTTTTAATTTTTGCCAACATCTTTGCTTGGTAAAAGTTGTTTGCCTTTTAGTTTGTAGATTTTTTCAACAAAAATAAATGATATGTTTTTCTTAACGAAACCCTAGATAACATTGTTTTTGAGAAAGAAAAACCAGGAAATGTCTTCCTTTAGGGATAAACTTTCTTAACCTTCCACGAAATATTTAAAAACATAATTTGCAGAAGTCAATTAGCAGGGAATTATATCTAAATATATATATCTTATCAATTTGCCAGTTAGGCCTTCGCCTCACCGTTTGATCATTTAATTATGGCCTAATTAAAATTGGCAAAAAGCCTTGACCGTTATGGCCCATTAAAAGCGCACCCGGCAAACAAATAAAGGACGCCCCCCCAACTTCAGACAAAAGGGACGCTTCCGTCTAGGGGTTCCCAAAAAGGCATCATCATCATCATGGCCATTCAGTCATTCAGGCCAGGCTGCCAGGCCTTCTTTTCTTGGCAGCAGCAGAAGAAGAAGGAGTGTGCGAAAGTGTCCTGGCTTTGAATAATTAAACCGGAGCATTTCGCTTTCAATTAAGATGTCGACACGCCGTCAGAGTCGGAAAGCAACGGGTGCTTGAAGCCTTTTGGCCAAAAGGATACGCCGAACCTCCTGAAGAGCTCTCCAGGACATTCGGGTTGTGTTTCGCTCTCTGAATGCTACCTCTGTGTAGCGAAGTTTGAAATGTTATTTCGGTTTCGGTGCATAATTAATTTCTTGTTCTCACTTCGAAATAATGGAATTTAATTTCCTTGTTTATGGCCGGGCAATTAAATTATTTGCTCAGTTTAGCGTGCGCTGTTTTGGACTTTTCTTTCGAAATCAATAGAGACCTTGGCAGCGACTTGAATGCAAATACGAGTATGAACTAACAAGAGGCGGAAAAGCGGCTGGAAGGCCCCATCCTCGACATGCAACGACCTTCTCAAGTCAAATAACAAAAAAAGCGGCTTAAGTGCCGCCAGGCAGCTTTTCCCCCCACCCCCTTATCCCTCTCCCCTTTCCCCTCCTCCACTCTATGAACATTTTCAAGGCGCTTCAAGTTTCTAATACGCGTTTTATTCGGCCGACTGGCATCATGTGCTAAACAAATAAGCGAGACAGCCATTTTGAGTCCCATGGAGATGTTTTGAAATCCAGGGAGAAACGAGTTTTGACAAAGAAGCGGATATAAATTGTAATAATGCCGCCTCAAGGCAAAGGAAAAACGGGGAAAATGGGGAAAACTTTTGGCGTGGTCAGTGATGGGCGAGGATGTTTTTAATTAAACGTCAGAGGGATTCACCGCTCAACTTTGCGATGCAGTTGCGTAATTACAGCACAGGTGAGAACACTGAAAAGGAATTTCAAGTAACCGAAACTTAGTCCGTTGCTATGAAGGTTGAAAGCCTTAAAGCCAGGCTTTAACCCTTACCGCAGCCAACGCCCTCAACTGCCCCCAAAAATGCATCGAAACAAAGGCAAAAAAGGACCAAACACTTTCGAGTACTTAGTGAGTTACTTACTCCTGGATCTCCCTCGTCCTGTTTTGCGCTTGTTTTCACCTCTTTTCCAGCACTCAAGTGCTGAAAAGTGTTTTTAGCACCCTTTAGGACACAGTCTCTCTCGGTGGGCGGAAAAGCCGGAAAAACAGGCAGCACACTGCAATTGCGAGCGACCCAAACTATGTAAGCACACGAACAGTTCAAGTTGTCTGCGGAGAATGTTAATTGGAGAAAGACGACTGGCAGGAATGCACTGGAAATAATATTTGAAGAACCATAATAAATTAAGTTTTAATGATAATAAACACGAATTGAATAATTTTTCGTTTTATCTAAACTTAAGGATACCTGTTTGAAAGCTCCCAGAAAGATAAAAACGATGGCTTTTTAAAGCAACTATAAATCAACCTTTTTTTCCTCAGGGGTTATTGAATTATAATTAGCAGACTTTTAAAATTTGTTAAGTTGTTCAGAACATAAAATGTCTTTTTGGGAAGACTAATAACTAGAAAACTGTCAAGTTGAAAAGCCATGTTTTTGCTTGTTCTCCAGTCTTAATGCAATATGAAAAGAGAGCCATTTGCACTCATCATTGGCCCCGTCGGAAAAAATGCGTGTGGGCCATAAATAATGGGAGGCTGGTGGAAAAAAGCTGTCAACTCCATGTCGAGCTCCCAGCTAAGTCAGCATTATCACCAGCGAACAATGTCGGCGGCGGCGCCGTCATCATCATCATTAGGCGACTTTTGAGCCCCCGTCGTCGCGGGACCTTGGACACTCGCATGGATTTGGATTTGTGGGTGGTTACCGTTTCCACTACCAAGTATGTTAGGTGTTCAGCAGGCGGCGGCGGAGGGCTGACAAAATGCCTTTGACATTTACAAATGAGGCCCGCCAGCGAATTAATGAGCCACGCCCAATTAGCGAGTGCGACACATGAGAAAAGAGTCGCCGGATCCAGAGGATCCAGTCGTTTTTCCCTAAAAACCTCTTCGCAAAAGCCTCTGTTGCGTGGCTCCTGGCTAATGTATCGGAAAATGGAATTGATGTCGATGCTGTGTGAGCTTCCCTTCCTTCATTCTTTTTTTTTTTTTTTTGCTCTCTATTGTTGCCCCCTCTTGAGGCAACAATTTAATTAATATTACGCAGACAGGAAGGAGGTGGTAATTTGCCCACACCCTGAGCTAAAAAAATCTTCAATGTAATTTTCTCGTTTACCCATTTTCGAGGCGGCAAGATGCTGGCAAAAGGGGGTTGGGTGGGGAAGGGGAAGGGGGTTGGATACCAAGGCATCCTGCGAAGGAGGCTGCAGACAATGGAAGGCCTGGAGCGCACTTGAGCACAGTTTGAGGCGACTTGAATGCGCCGCGCCTATAAGTATGCACTTGTAACAGCCAGCGGGCCATAGTTCACTACCAACTACCAACACTTCTCCCCACCCACCCACTCATCCCCTACAAGAAAAACCCACCCTCCCATCTTGGGTTATAAAAATAAAAATGACAGCCCAACAAAAACGAAAGGAAGCCAATTCTAGGGGTTCCCGGGCCCGGTCCACTGGTGAACTGGTCCACTGAGCCACTTTCGGTCCTCCTCCGCTCGAGTTGCAACAAAACGTATTATATTATTCATGCCCTGCCTCCGAAAAGGGTTGCGCCTTTTCTGGGTTAAGCCGAGCTACGTGCCTTCCTAATTTACAAATAATTCGGTTAACGGTCTCTTATTAGAATTAGTATTGAAAGGTTATATTTAGATATCTGAAATTATAGAAATTTAAAACGAGGTATAATAAAAAGAAACCTTCAAATAAATAAGTGCTGACTTTCTGAAGATGCACACTTTTTTGTTAATTCGTAAACAATCAAATTTTTATATCTTTAAATATATTTTTAAAACTTGAATATGTGTAGATAAAATTAGGTAAAATCAAGTAAAATCTATTTTATTTTTCACGTAAGAGTATTTTTGATTCGTTATTAAATGCCATGCACATGCATTTTAAATGCAATTTCCCGGGGGAGGCCAGCCTCATAAATTGAATTTCTTGCGCTGGCCAGCAACTAATATCCGATGTGTGTCTTGCTCGTTGTCTCCGGCAGGATCTTCAAGACGACCGGCCGTTCGGTGCAGGAGGATGTCAACCTGCTGCACGCCTCCGTTCTATCAATGGTTGAGTTCGACGATGATATATTCGCGGCCGGAAATTGCTTCGATTGGAACGAGCATCCAGCGCAGCCGGGACTCTTCTGTCCGTTCGCCTACCGCCTGCCGCCTCCGAACTTGGGAGCGGTCTTCGCCAAGGATCTGGCCATGGAGTACCACTATCTGGGCAACACCTCCGAGTGGTTCTTTCTCGCCCGCAAGAACGCCGAGAAGGTGATAGCCCGCAACGAGCAGTATCTTAAGTGTGAGTATCTCGGGGATGCTTTTTGGGCGGGGGTATGTTTCCTGATTTATTTCCAGCCTGGATAGCTGTTTGCCCTTATTTATGGCAGCCCGATAGCGAAGACGACCTCTATTCGGCCTCATATACATATATATAGCATTGAATACTTATTTTTGGGAGGCTTTAATCTGCGACTTCATTTGTCACCGGGAATTCTGTGAGGAATGGCTGTTAGGCCAGCCTAATTGCGTATATTTCACTCGACTTTATCATGGCCCAAAGAGGCACCAAAAACTCCGCCTGACAGCGCAACAATTAAGCAATAATAAATATACGGAAAGGGATTGTTGCCTTTAACTTGGGGAGTCCACTTTAAATGGAAATTACCTGGGGGGAACCCGAGCCAATTTACCGGACGGTTCCGTTCGTAATTAGCCGGATTCCGTCTGCTCCGGTGGACAGCTAATCCATTCTCACGGCCTTCTGCATGAGTGTCCGGCGTATTTGACAGTGATGCGTGTAAGCTAATTTTATGCAAGAACCGCCTGCCGTTATGCCTCCCTGCCCCATTTGTGTGGCACGTCATCTCGTTTGCTAATCAGCTGCCGGGTTCTGCGACTCTGTCAAGACATCCGCCATTGGATTTTCGAAAATATAAAAGCTGAAGTGAGGGCGAATTGCGTCGAATGAATTTTAATGATGTTGGCACATCCTTTTTAGCCCACACTTGTCCGACAGTTTGCATAACTTGGCCCACACCGACGGCGCGAACGAACGAGCGAACGAATGCACTTGACACGACCGTGCCGCAACATTTCAAAATAATTTGCAAATTAAAGGTTACGGTTACGCCACGTCGTTCCTCTGCATCTCCCCCTCCCCCTTTCCCCTCCCCCCGCATTCCGCTGGCCCGCATCGGCATTTTCCGGCTTTCCCCTTTTCCGGCTTGCGTGTGCAGCGCTGGCATGCAAATTATTTGTTTGCTTGCCTACAACTAATACTAAATGCCGTGGCTGTGCTAGTACATGAGCTTTCTGGTATTTCCCTGGCATGTACACTGCGCGAAAATATCGATCACCTAAAATGGATTCAAAATTTCCTTTTTTTGTACCCTTGTGGCAAGAATAACAAATATAAAATCAATGTTTACTGCACTTAAAAAGTATCAAATTCAACCAAATGCTAATGGATTTTAAATGTCCTATTAAAATTTTAAATACCTCATTAATCTGCCTCATCATTAGCAAATTCTAAATACATTTTTAAAACATAAATCGAATACTTAATCAACTGCACAACCATACTTTAAGCTTTTTAGATCACAATTTAACAAATCATAGGAAGGCCTGATGGTCATATTCCATTAAAGTTCATGTTTGCAATGGTAAAGTGACCTTCACCCAATGTTTTCCTTTTGCTTTTTTCGATCATAGCTAGCAAATATTTTCCACTGTGTAATCAGTACCGCTCCTTGTCCCAAAACCGGGCCAAAATGCCGGGGACTCGGCCGCAGGCTCTGGGGCCTGCAAATTGCATTGGCGAAATTGCATGAGATGCCGTTGAAAAATGTGTGCTGTCCGCATACGTATTACGTATACGCCGTGTTCGATTGTTCCCCGTGACTTTGGCTGCGACACTCTGACACTCACACACACACACCCACACACTGCCCTTCTGCGGCTGAGGGAAAACAAATGGAATCGAAAACAAACATTCTGCAGAGGGGGTGGAAAATTGAAGGGGAGGGAGTGCAGGAGACAAGGAAGGGGGTTGTATGCCAGGACCATGCATACTAATAGCGTTTTGGCCCGGCCAAAATGCTGATTGCAGGCTGGCAGCCAACTATTTGCCATAGATAAAAGTCCGTTCCTCATTCGTTTGTTTGCAAATTGAAAAGACGGACAAACTGCTGGAAAGGAAAAAGAAGAAAAGCGAACTTGCCAAATTATATTTGTAGCTCTAACAATAAACCGAAAGGGGTTCCGTTTGGGCCGTGTTCATGTTTGGCATTGGGTAATTTATCTAACGCTAAAAACTCCTATAAGCCCCGGCGAAATATGATTAATGGGGTGCTGAAACTTCGACCGGATGGCTGTCATTCGATTTATGCACATTTGCATATTTGCACTCGCCTTTGAACTTTGCTGGCGGAAAAACTTTCGCGCTGGAAACTTTCTTGGTGTCGCGCAAATTGCTTTAATGCGGCTCTATTAAATTCTTTCACTTTTCCCAAGGACATTTCAACAGTTGAGGCATTTTCACACCACAACCAATTTGTGGCCAGTTCATGCGCAATTAATTTGATTATGTATTTGCGGTGCACAATGCAAATGTTGCTTCTCTTTATTTGCAGCCGAAAAAAGCCAATTCGCGGGGTAATTACCTTTTCATTGCATAATTAATAACATTTTTCCCGAATGCTAGCGCCAGTCGATCCAGCGAATTGCGCAATCAATACGAATCAACTGCTTTTAATAGCTATTTCAGTTTCATTGAAATCACTTCATTGGCTGTAATGTTCAGCAAATGATTAATAAAGTCGATTTGAGTGCACTCAACGCTGTAATTTAGACTAATTACTAATGAGAATTTTTAGAAAGTCATCCATAAATTGAGTGTTTGTTCAATCATTAGAGAATTTTTTATTGCCGTTGCAGAAATGAAATAAAATAGCTAAGCAGCAGAAAATTTAAGAATGACTATGAAAACAATAAAAATATTAATGTGTTCTTATCTATCTGATATTAAATACGAGTTATTTAAGTATTATCTCTATAATTAAATAGATATTAAATACGAGTTATTCAAGTATTATCTCTATAAATATTTCTACTCTGAAATAAATATATTGCGAACTTAAATAGGGCCACTACTAAATTGGCAGATAAAGCTAGGAATAAAACTTAAATTGCCATATAAATGTGAGTTATTGTCCACTCAATTTAAGTTTCGATGGCAGGAAAATCTTGGCCGAAAAGAAGGTGGACTCCTTCAAGCATTTCTGCTTTCCTATTGTCCATTCCCGTTTACTATTTGTACATACTTACTCGTATTTTCAGAGGCATAGCACAAACATATATCTTGCCCCATCCCAAGCCCTCTATATGTTTATGTACTCGATGTGGCACAGTCGTATGGGGGCGAAATGGTGACGCGTGTGCGGCAAGTAAACCGCAAAAATATGTCATAATATTTGCTTTTGCCACAGTCTGGGCGATCCGTTTTATATTATTATATTCCAGCTCCGCCTCTTTGCTGGTTACAAGTCACGTGTTTAACATAAAATTTAAATAAAAATCGCATACAATATGTAAACGGTTATATGTACTTCCTGTGGTTCTTCCACCCATCTACAATTTTTAGCTGTGGGCCAACATTTGCTCAGACGGCTTGTTGTTACACTCGTCGACGTCTGGCTGTTTGTAATTTCCGTCTGCTAACGCAATTTGCAAATTCAGTCTGACTTTCGCATTACCATTCACCAACTAAATCAGCCAAATCTTACCAGATAAGCCACAACATATACCCGTTTTATGCAAATCACGGGCATAAAGAATAGCTACTGGGCTTTTTTTTCTTTTTTTGTGGGGACTTTTGGGGTGCAGGACAATTCGAAATCATTTTTGTGAGCTAATTCTACTGGAACTGCTCGGCCAGATTCATTTGCCGCACTATTGTAATGATGCTGAAGGCGAACTTGGCCACCTAAAAGCAGAAAAAAGAGGTCAAGTATGGAATTGGGTTCCAAGGAATAAGGAAGTTCCTAACTCACGCTTATGTTGCTGTTCATGGAGATGGGAAATATGCCTCCTGCTATGAAAATAATCGGCTGCTGGACGTGGTGCATGAAGTGAACCAATGTGGACCGGTAACGTGGCTCAGCGTCCACCCAATTCGATTGGAAAATCTCGTTGGACAGGTCCATGGCATCATCGATTAGCAGGTTGCAGGTGTAGCAGAAGGGAAACGTCTGCAGCAGGATGGTGATGACGAAGAAAAGGGAGGCCACTCCCTTCCAGAAGTTCGAGAAGAAAAACACATTCACCAAAGTCAAACCCAAAACGGATCCAATTAGGGCAAACTGCACGAAAATAGTGCGCCCAATCATGGGTCGAATCATATCGCAGCATCTGGGAAATAAATTATTTAACTAATAAATTAATAATTATATAAAATCAGAGTTATTTTACCTGAGTATCATCTTATGATCCATTACGCAGTTAACCAACTCCTGATAGTTCTCTTCCTCACTTAAATCCGGATCTGTGCGCAAATTTCTCACATGATCTTTAAGAATGTCCATATGTGCCCTGAACATAATGGTAAACATCAAAGGATACGTATCGGCAAGCTGATCCTGCAGCACGGCAAAGGACATGGTTATGTACTCAAAGATCGCCTGGATCCACAGGCTGCCCAAACCATCGCGCCAGTCTATAAAAGGATTATAAACGGACCACGGAGGATGGCCACTCAGTGCGTAGGATAGAAAAGTCGATCCCGCATATCCGCAGTAAATGAAGCTGTAGATCAGAAAGGCATAATTGCAACGTGCCACCATATTGTGGATCTTTTCCCGATCACTTTCATTTCTCAGCCTCTTATCCAAGTGGTCCAATAGCATCTCCGTTTTCCTCAGTCTCCAAAGAAACAAATAGGTGATGGTTGACTTCACCGAGGCACCATACACATTAATGCACACTTGCAACGAGGTGAGAAACTCTCCAGGCGTAAAGTTCTTGAACTCCTGAACATAACTGATGATAAAGCCCACTGGCAAATAGAACACCCCAAAAGCGAAGGGCACGCAGGTCCAGAAGAGATACACATATCTCAGGATTCCCGATTTCGGAGGGATCCAACCTATAATCCACATGCCCCTGTACAGATATATGTTTCCCTGGCGGGACTGCACTTTCTCCGTCAACGGAGCCGGTTTAATCAGCTCGAACAGCACCATGTTTACTAACTGTTTAGAATCTCTCACCTGCATTTTATACTTTTATCCATGCCCTCGCTAATTGAACAGGTGCCCGATTCCCTGGCAAAGCCACGCCCCTTCGTTTTGTGGCCTGTAATTTGAGTTAACCACTGGTCAGGTGTTAACTGCCAACGGGGATTTATTATTAAAGTGCAAGCAGGCCTGTCAACTGGCAATTAGCTGGCTTAATAGTTAATTGGTGGGGGGCAGTAGTTAATAAATCAATTAAGGATTGTCAGTTTAAAAAATATACCTACTGTTTATAATTGTTTGCTTGAATTTAGATCCTTCGAAAATGAATTTTAAGGGTTATGTTAAATTTAAGTTAGGGGGTAAGCAGTTAAAGTTAAAGAGTCAATTTAAATTATACCTTTCCTAGAAATATCTGAAGTTGTACCTACAAATTCATTTTATTAAAAAAACAGATTAATCAAACATAATTCAACTAAACCTTTATATTATATTTTCTTTTTGAACGAAGCCTAATATGTTTAACAAAGCAGTAAGCAATCAATCTGAATGCACATATTAAACAATGCAGAAAGGCGGGTTTAATATCCTCTCATCACAAAGTTCATGGTCCTCTAAAGCTGCTTGAAGTCCTCAAGTGTGTGCGGAACTTCTACAAAGTTTAGTGCGTGTGCAAGCACTTACGTGCTACATGCTACATGGTGCAAGTGTCGGGATGCAAATATTAGTTTTAAAACTTCTCTTTGCACAGCACTTTAAGGCTCTATTCCCCATTCGCCATGTCACTGAAAAACTTCTCGCCGAGATTCATTTGCTGGACGATTGTGATGATGGTGAAAGCAAACTTCGCCACGGCAATGTTGCTCTGCACCGAAATGGGAAAAATAGCGCCGGCTGTAAATTGAATAGGTTTCTGTACTCTGTGCAGAAAGTATAAAATCGCCGATTTATAGCGCTTCTCGGCGGTTATCCACTTGGAGTGAAAGATAGCGTCGCTGACTTTGGTGGAGTCCTCGATCAGATATTCGCAGAGCATACAGAAGGGAAAGGACTCCGCGCAAATGACGACGATAAATGAAACATTCGCCATGATCGTCCAAATGGTATTCTCAAAGAACAGAATACTGATGGAGGCCACACCCAAATCAATGCCGACCAGCATGAATTGTGTAAAAACAGTGATCGACAAAATGGGTCGAATGATTTCCGAACATCTGAAATGGTTATCTTTAAAGAAAATATAAAAACCTTTTGGCTTATTCTCTCACTGAATAATGGTGCGATGATCCTGGATGCAGGCGACCAACTGCTCGTAGTTTTCCATTTCACTAATCTCCGGATCCTGCCGCAGATTCTCTATGCGATTCTTAAGGATTGACAAATGCCCCCTGAACAAGGATATAAATACGATTCCGTAGGTATCGGCCATCAGTTCCTGCATCGTTCCTGTTGAGACGACAATGTACTCGAAGATCGAGGCAATCCAGAGCTGCCAATATCCTTTCGTCCAGTCCACCAGTGGATTGTACAGCTGCCAAGGAGCCTTGCCCGCCAAAACCGAAGTGAAAGTGTTCAGAGCGCCAAAACTCAAGTATGAACCCACGAAAAGGGCCACAATTAGATTCGATCGAGCCACAACCTTATGGAGTATTTCTCGCTGCGTTGGAGTAACACATCTCTGATCCAAAGAGACAATCATCTCATTCATTTTACGGAATCGCCACATTTGGGAAAAGGTGGCCAGCGATTTGATCACATTTCCAATGCAATTGATATCCACCTGCAGAGAGGTCAGAAATTCGGTCGGTGTGAACCTATCGAAGTGTTTCACATAAGTGAGGGTTAATCCCAGTGGTAGATAAACTATTCCCAGCCACGATGTGGTTAAGGTTAATATGAGATATATCCATTTTAGCCGAGCCTCCTTGGGCGGCGTCCATCCAAGTAAAAAAGCAGCGCGGTAGTAGTAGTAACTTGCATCCAAGGAACTTATGCGCTTTTCAAGAGGCGCCACATGAGCACGTTCAAAAAATGGCTTCTTCATCTTACTCGTTGGATTTAAGACTTCTAAAGGATAAATTCCCTTGAAAGCGGTTTTTATATGCCAACTTGCAGTTCCTGATTTGTTTTTAATGTCTTGTCATTTTTGGTTTATTCATCAGAGGACTCCCGAGTCATCCAAGGTCGCGTGTTCGCACTTATAAAGTCATTAGCCGCAGAATTGGCTTAGGCAATGCAAATTATCAAGGTGAAACACTGAGCAAAATGAAAAAAGTGGCAGCCATCCAAAAATAATTTTTATAATTTAACAAAGGATAAGTAGAACCGACAGTTCTTCCTTATATCTCAACAAAAAAAGGATATGCTTCAATTTAAACCTTTATTTAATACAATATAAAAAATATAACATATTAGTTCTGGTTAGTTGTGTAGGCTTTATAATATAATATTCTTACTACGACAATATTTTTTCGATCCTATTAAATTTTCTGTTTACTTTCGCTTTCAATTTCTCGCTGTGTATTCCTTTGGGTGGTGCCCTGAACAGCTCGCTGAATCGCAGAGCTGCTGACTGCCGTGAAAGGCTTATCGATTTCTGGGTCCTCTAATTACAGTTTGCATAATGGATAACGCTATTGAAACCCCCCTGTTGCACTCTTCTGCTCTTCCTCTTGCAGCTTTTCATCTGTACTCGAACCGCACGGAGGAGCGCATCGAGGACGACACGCTGGCTGTGAAATACGAGGACGGCAGATGGTCAAAACCGTATTACGACTGCGGCGGCGGCAACATTTGGATGCTGACCTACACGGTTCCATTCTTTGGCTATGAGAACGGCACCTACCACTTCAAGTGAGTAAACAAAAAAAAATAATACTGTTTATAGTTCGAATAAACTAGGAAAAATACGAAATCAAAAATAAAATCCATCATACAACTTTAAAAAAATATTTATAATTAGTTTTGGTCTTTCAGTTCATGCCAAAAAAATGTCAGAAAAAATATAAAATCAATATAAAATATCACTCTCATGGATATATACTCAGTGCACTTAAAATGGAAATTTATTGCTAGTTAAAAAAATTTTCATTTCAATTCCAATTTGATCGATTCGGATGACCTATTCGATTTTTTCTGTGCACGGGTTACATTGTCGCCTGCACAATTCTTGCACATGACGGATACCGCCAGATGCGCATTTTATAAATAATTCGCAGCATGGGAAATTCGAAGGAAAACTGCTCTGCTCTCACTTAGCGCGCCATTGCAGTTTTCCCAGCCAGCACCCGCAACTGCCAGCGACAGCAGGATGGTCGGGAAAGCCGGAAAACTGAGCGAGTGCCAGTTTTTGGCTTTTGTCTAGAAACAGGAAAAGTAATTGAATAGTTGAATGGCGGCTCTTGGCCATCGTTTTTGGCCTTTCCTTCGGCTAGTGTGGCACGTGCAATGTGCCACCAACTGAGTTTAAGTTTTAGTGCTTTCGCCCAACATCGAATGCTACCAAATTCCACTCACGCACCGGGTCAAAAAAGAGACTACTTTAAAAAGAGCACAACATCTTATGAAACTTTATTACGTGCTATCTTTTTATCTTTATTTCCAATCTCCCCAGGCCCTTTTTGTGCTTTAAATAATTTTTATTTTCTTCCCTTTTCTCTCTTAATAGTTTTTTCGGCCCTTTGGGAAGTTTTCAATTGAATATTGCTGCCAAGTTGGCAGGAATCGCAGAAAAAAAAAGCGATGAACCAAATATTTATTCAAATGAGCTCAACATTGATGTTTCTGCAAATCAATAAATTCAAGGAACTCGTTTAAATTTAATCATTTCTATTTTTGCGGCATTGGTTAAATTAAATTCTTTGAAAGAATTGATTTATTTCAAGTGCGAGCTACCAATTCACAAATTTCCAAGAAATCAAATCTGAATAAAGTCTAAAGGTAAAAATAGAAGCGACTTCATAAATTGAGGCAATCATCCTAATGACAACTGGTGAATGAAAACCTCTTTGATATTTACCACAAAATGCTGACTGGGCGTGGGCTCGAAAAAAGTGGGCGTGGCACTCAGTCATCGTTGCTGTCTGCATTTCCACTCTACTTCATCCATAATTCGCAATTATCAATGGCTGGCAGCAGAAAACAGCAAAACAGACAGCAGATTGCAGAGAGAGAAGAAAAAACAACATTTTGGCCAGAAAACTATTTTCACTTAGTGGCTGAGTTAGTGAGTCAGTGGGGAGTGGCCAGGATTACGTGCTTTTGTTTTTCGACTGGCTGAAATTGCTTTTACTGGTCGGATGGAAGGGATGAGTGCGTGAGGTTTATCAGCTTGTTGTCTTAAAAATCTTCAACAAATAAACAACAGCTACGGCAATGATTTAAAGTCCGGGATTAGTGAAGATTTTCCAGACAGGAAAAAGAGTTTAACTGGGAACTTTCCCAAACTTAATGGAAAGAATGTTTAAGCATTTTTTTTTCAACAGCTTTGCATACTTAAATATAATTCCTTTTTGAGTATTCTCCGTACTTATATCAGCAAAAAGTTGACTATTTATTCAGGTAAAAAAGTTCTTTTGGTTCAATCATTCGCTTCTCAACTGGACTGGCAGTTGCCAATCCTTTGAGTGATGGCTTATAGCAATAGCAGGGATACACCAATCGCATCTCTTGCGATTCTGGAGTGGCCCCAGGTTTGGGAGTAGTTGTAAATCGCAGTCTTTGCCTCCCTAAAAGGTAGAAAACAAATCAAGTCATTAAAAAACAACAAATTAAATTTCTCTTTATTTTCAAAGATAATAAAATGCTATAATATTTCAACCGTAACAACTTTTCTAGTTAATAAAATCACAAAGATAAATATATTTCATTAACTCATTCAATTAAAGCAATTTATAATTGAACATTTAAAGTTTTGTTATTTTAATCAAATGACTTGGGGTAACTAATTAATTAATTTTGCAATAAATGAAATTGTTTCAAAAAAAGACTATACAATATAGTTTGTTTGTATAAGAGACTCACAATTTGATTGGTAGTACTGCTTCTGCCACCATCCCAAGTGTCGTTTCGGCCAATCGATGCGATTCAAGCTGGTCCACGTGACTGTTAGCCCAAGGAACAAAAGTAGAACCAACTGCAGCCACGGGAAAAGCATATCTGTGTGGAAATTTTTCCGACATTTTCCGCCCCCCTCAACTGAGAGCTTGCCTAATGGCTTCCGTAATTATTGCAAGCAGTTCGCTTTGGCACAAGTAAGCGTTTAAAATTTAATTACTCACGGGTGCGAATGGATGCGATGGATGCGAGGGATGCGATGGCTGCTCTTCTGCTCCCCAAAGCCATTTCCGCTGGCAGGTGGGCTGGCAGACAGCGTTCTCAAAATTTAATTAAAGCAATCAATTATAAAGTTGGGTCTTCATCCCCGCACACACATGCCTACTTAGCGTTCGATGACTTTCCACGCTCAATAAATTTCACACGCAGCCGAAGGGAAAATTCACGGAGTCGGGTTCAGAGGTCAAGCATTGGGAGGCTGCTCCTGCCTTTGCTCCTGGGGACAGGACCTCCGTGCGAAAGGAAACTGTCTGCCTCTGGCGGAAGCCCAGCAACTGCCTGCAATTAGTTGCAACATAAATTTAGTCCGCACAAGTGGATGGAGGCACCGTGGGTCAAGCGGAAAATGTAGCAATTGCCGGCGTGGAAAATTCAACTAATAGTATAGATTCGACAGAGATTTGAGGCACTCAAAAAAAATAGAGCTATATTTGCTTTCAGATTTTATAGTTCTGCTATGTGGGAAAAAATTTAAAGATGATTACAAGTTTTTATCTAACAGTGATGAAAAATCTTCATTTGTTTATTACTCCTTTTGATTAGTAAAGTATACTTCACTTTTTTTCTAACTTTTTTAATTGCAAAACATTTTCTTAATAAGCAGCTCTTCAAATCAAACTTTAAAACTTGTTTACATAAAGTGGCGTTTCGATTCATTGTTAAAAACTTTCTGTCAGTCATAATTGTTGAAAGCAAGAATCACCGAATGCTGAAAGAAAAGCTAGTTAGATATGTAAATGATATTCTTCAGTTCGTTAGTTCCTCCTGGTTTTCCTCTGCTTTTCCCACTGTAGAGTGCCGCCAGAATTAATGTGCAAATGTTAAAAGTTCGTTAGTTCGTTCCAGTTTAACCCGCGTAGTTTGGCCGGAATAGAATGCAGTTGGGCAGCAGGAGCACGTCAAAACAAAGCTCATTTGTTTCAGCGGCTTACGGAGCGAGTCCTGTGGAAAAATGACTAAAGTTGGGCCGTCTTGGCAGGATCCCACATCCAAAAGCATGTCCGTCTCCGGCTCATGTTAATAATGTGCTGCTATCAGTTTCCCATTAGTGGGCAAAATTAATTTGTTTACGTTGCGGCGGAAGCAGAAAGAACACAAAAAATAAGCGAATACTAAACGAGGAGCGTGGCGGAAACTTGCTAATTAATTTAACTTGCTATGCGGTGTGTGTAGCTGCCTCATTTTTCTTAATTGCATGAAATATGCAGGCTCACTGGCAGAAAAGCCAAACGAAACGAAGCCAAGTTGAACAATAAGCATCCACATTAAGCTAAAGTTAATTTTATTATAAATTATTTGGCCAAACGGAACGGAGAACGGAGAAAAACACAAATCACATTAGTCCCCCGTGGCGAAAGGACACGAGAGGCCTGCCGGCAAAGGACCTCCTGCTGGGACAATAATTTTATTTGATTTCATTTAAGTTTCGCTTAGCGACACACAACTCTGCGGGTCCCGACAAAGTTTCAATATTAAACAGGGCCAAGGGGGCGGCTATAAATGTGGATTGTAATCCCCGCATTGTATTTACTTGACTTATTCTGCAATATGGCTCAGTTGGCCCCCTACTTCTGGGCTGCCTGCTTGTGCCTGCATTTACCATTTCCCCCCACATTTTCCCGGGGACTCAGCATAATGATGCAAACGGAAACGGCAATCTCAAATATCAAGCAATAAGCCAGCCTTTGTGAGTCGGCTTCAGAAACTGAATATGTGCTTGATTATGGATTTGCATGTGCAACTTATAGAATTCCAGAAAACTCAGCAAATGCTCGGGTTTTGCCATGCCAGGTATTTTCACCGATGCTCGAGGCTTGAAAACTAAACATTTTAGTCTGAGGAAAATTGTTTAGAAAAGGTTAAGAATTAGTTGAATATTACAAGTTTGTTTCTTGGAATGTTTTCCTCCCTCCAAAAACATATTTCACTTTTTCAAATTTAAGGCTTAAATTTATTCTCGCTTTAAACCGTATTTCCACGCTTCACAACGGCATAAAGGGATTGACATCCATTTGGTCCTGCCATCGGGCCGGATTTGAAATTAGTTTGTAAATGAAGGTTGCCTCGCTGGCTGGCAAATATGGCACATTAAGAGTTTTGGTCAGTGCTGACAATATTTCCTTTTTTGGGGTCAAAATTTCGACCGGAAAATGAAAATCTTTGAATGCAGTTGTATCAAGGATGCGATCAAAAACGTTTAGGGGTATGCCACTTTGGAATCAGACTTAAATTGAACAAGTTATGGCTGAATCTACTTTTCGGTCTCCTTTGCGTAAATTGTAAATTGGAAATTGTTGTTTTAAGCCACCTAAATATTTAATAATATTGTATAGTATACAAAAATTTATTTTGAATTTGCAATGTAAATGAATTCTTATTTGTTTTAAATATTTATGTACGCCACCAAATTCAATTTTGAATAGTAAGTAGAACTAACGTGTAGAAAACGAAAATCAAATTTAACACGGCTTAAACCATAACTATTAAAATTATGAAAGAGCTAGAAGCCAGCCATCACTGGTTTGGCCTACAGGCCGCAGCTCACTTTGCCGCCGAGGTGCAAACTACAAACCTGATTATGTGCATTAGCTGCCACGACCGAAAATTGGGCACGCATGGCGTATACGTAATGTGGCGCGGCTCCAGCAGATGAGTTGTTTACAAACTGGCAACAAAACGCTATGCGTGATGGTTTCGCTTGGTTCGGTTCGGTTTTGTTCAGTTTGGGTGTGAACGGTATATGCCATTACGTTCGCTGTAATAAAGTTGCTGCCATATTTTGGTTACGCGGCAGCAAAGCACAAGCATCTTTATGAACCCGCAAATGGGGCAGCAAGGGAGCCCGGCTGTCGCCAGTTTTAAATAGCTGGTACGTGCAACGTGTGGCGGCGGGCTCAAGGATGTGAGTGTAACTCTCTGCAGATGCATTTCACTTATTCACGTAGTGCGTGTTTGTTGCACGTGCCTCGAATGTCAAGCTGCACTCCTTGGTATCCAGTACTCTATTGCAAAATGTTCTGTGATTTCTCTTTGCCAAGCTTTAAACTGCAATAATGGCAGAAATTAATACCCAGCCTATTAAATTACGAACCAATTCAAGTCAAGCTGCTGCCAATATGTCACGGTTAATTTGAATTCAACAGGCTTGGCTGACAAAATTTCGTCATTGGACCTTATTTCGGTCACCGAAAAACACACACACAAACACAACCTCGATTATGGCTCATTTGTAGGCATTAGGCAGAGCTCTCTGAAAAGGCGTCTGTCATATAAATCAAGTGTCCGAGCGATAGGCAAACATTGTCACATCAGCAGCCATTGCCAAATAGCTTTAGGCGCAAACTAATAAATCAATATGAGACACACACACACACACACATACACACGTTTGTATGTCCCCATCCATTTATCTCTGGCTCGCAAACAGGACAAACTCATTCGGCAGGCTCAATCAGCTTATTTTCTAATATCCGTTTACAAATTATCTTCAAAAACTGTCAACAGCAACAAAGCCAGACAGACAAAGGAAAAGCGGCCGAGTTGGGAAAATGAAACCACAGCAAATAAATGGCAGAGGCAAATAAGAAATAAGGAATAACACACGAAAACATATCCGAGAATTCCGTCCCAATAATACGGCAAAGGACGTGGAAAAAAAGGACATGCTGCTCGCAGGACTCAAAGGCGTTGGGATCAACTGCCTGGGAATTAACATAATCATTACGATAATGTAATATGGCCATTGTGCAGCCGGCAGTCCCGCCACTGTGCACTTCCCACTAGCCCTTTTTTCCCCCGAATTTCCCAATCAATAAGTTGTCAGAAACAATCAAATAAATACAAACTGATATGTCAATATTAACTGACAGGCAGTCTGCTGGAGTCCCGGGTCCCGGATCCCGGATCCCGATCCCGGGAATTCGAATCCTTGCCCCATCCCCATCCAATGGCTACCGGATATGGCCGGGACAAACACATTATGGCCGTCGAAGGAGTCAGGATATTGAAAAAAGAAAACGAAAGTTCTTGCGAAACTCTTTGAAGCACCGAAATGGAAATCACACTTCTCGGGGGAGCCTCTTGCCCCGAATAATGGGCGATTTGTTATACTTTCAATTTTGAATTGGAAAAGGAAAGGTTTTTTTATGTCGAGTGCAAACTATAACGTTTAATTTAATTTGGGTTTTGAGACTTGGAAATTTCGCTTGCTGAAGTTAAAGTAAGGCATTGAAAGTATTTTTAAGAAATTATTAGTTATCTTTACATAAATAAAATGATAGAAAATATTATTCATTACCCTAAAAACAGTAACCTCCTCACAAACTGCACACTTGCAACAATATTGAATATCAAATAGAATTTCAGTGGAAACTTTTAAAGAAAACCCCTTTAAAAAACCTTGAAAAGAAGAGGGAAATTCGCAAACAAACAGCAAGGCAAATGCCGAAGGGATCATGCCGCAAGAAAACTTTTCCGGCCAAGAAAAAGCCGTAGAAGGGAAAAGCGGGGGAGGGGGAGGGGGAGAGCCACGGCTCCGGCGTGAAAATGCGGACGAGTAGGAAGGCTGAGATTATGCGTAAAATTCTACATGTGTTCCGGCCGAGAACCTCCAGCTGTCTCCCTCCATGATTTTGCTTAGGTATGCGTGTAATTGGGTGGCTGCCCATTGCCATTGCCATTGCCATTGCGACCTTTGTGGAGGCATACAGGCCATACAGGCGAAACAGGGATTTCAACTAGCTGACGAGGGGGCGCAACCACGGGTCGACAGCTTAGTGCACCCTTTTCATGGCTTTATGTCTTTGTAAAACGACAAGGCCAACCCATTCCCAGCCCCACCCACTCCTCCAACTTCCACAACTCCACCTACTATTTTTCCCGTCAGCGACAGCAAGAAAATAATTTTCTGCTATTTTTTTTTTTTTTTGAGCCCCGGAAGCCGGAACCAAGCACGCATGTTAGTTTATCCTTTTGTGCGAAATCTTGGACATGGGCCTAGCACCCAGACATATGCACAATCAGGGCAGGAATTTATTGTTTGTTATCGCCGAGAACTGGCGAACTGAACCACGTTCCCTCCGACCACGTCCATAAATATCGAAGGCTGTCGGCGCACAGGTCTTATTGAATCCAGTTTATAAATGGCGCCATTTGGCTTAAGTGCCGCCCAGTTGATTGTTAGGCTGACAAATTAATAACATAAATTTTTAACGCCTTCTGCTCATGCTCATGCTGATGCTGATGCCTTGTTTTTCTGTGTTTCCTGCAGGGGCACATCTGGCATCGATATCGACTTGCGGCGCGTGGACATCGACCAGTGTCCGCAGCGCCACACTCCCGGAACCAAGCGGCCGCTGAACATCTTCGCCGGCACGGACAAGTGCAAGCAGCGGACCACCATGGTGGGTATCAGTCTGTGTACACAGAGAAAAAACATAAATTTTATTGCTGTCAAGTAATTTCAATGAGATAAGTTGTCTTTCAAAATTATACAAAGAAACCCATTTGTTTGTTAAAATCATTTTCAAGAAGCTTCAATTCTTTAATAATTTCTTTAAAAAATTCATACATTTTTGGGAAGAATTTAAAGGTTACTAAAATAAACCTAATCATAAAAGCAATAGTCACAGTTTTCTTAAACCGCAACCTCTATTCATAACTCTTAATCTCAATGTAATCTGTTTGCAAAAACCTAAGATTATAAAAACCACAACTTATGGCTCTCAGAATTATGCCAAGATTTATAGTGTAAGGTCAGCATAACACACTGGTTTTTTCTCTGTGTGAGCCCCCAAATTCTCCGCAGTCAGCACTTAATTTTCATTTCCATTTCCGCACTTCACGTTGGCAGTGCGAGGCCATCATGGGACTGGGATTTCGGCGCGGCTCCTACAAATGCCTGTGCCGCAAGGGATTCTACTTCCCCGACATCGTGTCGCAGCACAAGTTCTTCAACGGCAGCCTGCTGGAGGAGGAGTACGAGAAGCTGATGCTGGTAAGTCATCTTGGCCAAGTGCCGAGCACTGAATGTTGAATGGCCAATGGCTGATGGCGGATGGCGAATGGCTGATGCCAAATGCCGAATGCCGCCGCGTCAAGTGTTCGCCGCCGTAAGAGCCTTACTCTCATTAAATATGTATTAGGGCAAGAACTCGACGTACAACAGCAACAGCGAGTACGAGTGCCTTCCCTGCGCCGAGGGCTGTGACTCCTGCGAGGACTCCTCGCCCTGCATCGCCGCCCTAAACTGGCCGATGCGCACGAGCATCCTGGCGCTGGCCTGCATCGTGATTGGCCTCCTGCCCCCAGCCGCCTGGTTCACCTTCCGCTACCAGCAGGTTAAGGTGAGTGGGTTTCCCCGGGAGTCATACTGGAGGTACTCCTCCAACACTCTGCACTTTAGCGCCCTAAGTAGAATATCAGTGGGTTGCCAGGAGGCCTTGGCATTTCCTTTCTGCCAACGCCAGCAGGTTTATATCAACAGCTTAAAGCGTTCCGGAAAAACTAAAAAATATCTCCTAACAGAAGTTATGTGCTTTGCCAATTCACTTTTTATTTTATTTCTGGTTTTGGTTTTCATAGAAGTTTGCATTTCCATTTAATTTGTTGTCAGATCAAAACGTATTAAAGCTACATTTAGATAATTTAAAGTAAATGAAATAGGAAATCTGTGTTTTCATATATCCCCCATTTTAACAGAGAAGTGTTTTCAATTTAAATCTCCATACACACAACTACTTTTCATGCAATTATTCTGTACCGGAAGTGTTATCACAAAAAACAAACTAACCATTTGCTATTAAAGCAAAACGAATTCCAATCTGCCTTCTTAAAAGCTTTGTTCCGACTAACAGTTGTGGAATTAAAAGCCCTGATAAATCTTTGAAATTCCATGCCAAAATTGTCAAACCATTGTAATGGCATTATCCCCGAGCAGTCGGAACCTGTCCGTCGTTTGTTTTTCTGTTTTCTGAGTATATATTTTTAATGCGTGACAGTGCGCGCTGTCAAATACCGCTGATCCCGGAGAGGGCCAACCTAAGCCGCTGTCATCATTGTGCCGCTAAGCGGCTTACCATTGTTAGAATCGAGTTAATTTTGAACGTGCAGTCCGGCCATCCAGGAATCCGGGCCGTCAACATCCCGATGACAGGCGGCAACAAGCCAACAAGCCAACAGGACAGCGGATATAGTCGCGCATAAGCGGAAGTGCAAACATTCGCACAGCTGGCCACACACCCACTTCCGCTGGTTTCCTGCCTGGCGGCAGAGGATGCGGAGAGGTCCTGCCCCACAAGATGAACTCCGAGTGTCACTTGGTCGCTCATTAGACCAGAGAATAGAAAACAGAGAATGGAGAACGGAGAACGGAGGACAAGTCCAGCTGCCGGCGTCCAATTGTCTCTGGCGTTTGGATTTAAACCATTCGCAACTTTCCCGTCCACTGCGGATGTAATATATATACACTGGGCTAAAACTTTAAATTTAAATTAAAAACAAATTGAGCAGGAAATAGAAAATCTTTTTGCAATTCCATTAATTGCATTAAATTAATGAAAAATATGTAAACAGCTTTTAGATAATTTAAATTAAATTTTTTAAGGTTTTATTTATTTGTTTGAAAAATATATCTTAATCTTTAAGAAATCCTTCGTTTACTCAATGAAAATCTCATATTAACATCGGTTAATTAAGTGTGAAATTATTTTTGTAGTAATTTCGTTTCAGTACTTTAAATTTACATTTTTATTGAGTTTTGTTATTGCCTTCAGTTCTATTTTATTTTGCTTAATTGTATTCCCCTGTGATTTTTTCTCAGTGAATGCATGTTGGAGAAGGGCTAGTGGCTAAAGGAAGTGAGTTGTTCTATTCCCTTGTCGCTGTCTGACATTTGTGTGCTGTCTTTCCCCAGCTCACCATCTATCCAAGTCCCCAGTTACCTCCCCATCCCCCCTATCTCCCACTCCCCCACCTCCCCCATCTCCCCCTTTCCCGTTCCACTTGCCCGCGTCCCAAGGCAACTAGCCAACTAAACTGTTTTCATTCGTAATGCGATTCTGTCGCATTTGTGTCTCCGCTCATGTCCCCAACGGGTGTAAGATGGTGTGTGTTTGAGTGTGTGTTTGAGTGTGTGTTACTGCCTGTGTGAGTGTGTGTGTGTGTCCAAACTAATTAAATGGCGCTAAACATGCCGCCCCAAATCCTGCCAAGTGTGAGGGAACCACCTCGAACCGAAGTCCTGCAGTGATTTCGCTGCGTCCTTGGGAAATTGTGCGGATTAAACGATTTCAATTAAAATTTGCAAACTTTCTGCTGCCGGAAACTAATTGGAATTGTCTTGTTTTGCAGGTTGTAAGGGCCGCCAGTCCGGCTTTGTTGCGGGTCATCGCCTTGGGCGCCTTTTTCATCTACTGCACGGTAAGTAAAGTAGATCATTACTCATTCAACAAACGGAATAAACTGCTTCAATTAAGCCCTGCCAATTGAGTGGTATAATCCAATGGCAAATGCTCGATTTCACTGCAGGCCGAAGTAATTAAGAGCCATCTAACAGATGCATTCGCTTAACTGCCACTCGTCGAATTGAAACATTTTTCGACCGGCTAAACGAGTCCGTTGAACATTATTACAACTCAATGGAAGCATTCAGCGCTGAAAAGCATAAATAGACGTGAAATTTGCATTCGGTGAAAAATGAGATAGGAAACCATTTGGCAAACAGAACCAACCAACCATCTATCGCCACTCCAAAAAACCGAACTCGAACCCAATTCCCATCAATTTCTACACAATTTAATTTGATTGATTTATGGCTGGCGAAAGAAACTAATGGGATGCCGGCCAAATAAACAACTTTAAGCGAGAGTTCATCGAACATCCGTTGCCGGGGTTTTTTTTATTTATGTGTGGCAGATTTATTTAGCCGCCATGAGTATCTCTTGACGAGCACACAATGGACACAGGACGATGATGAGAACGAAAACGGGGATGGGAATGGGAATGGGAATGGGAATAGGGATGGGATTGGGGATGAGGACCAGGACGAGGGTCCCTGTCAGCACAGTTTGCTTTATGATTTTTTAATATGTGCAAGGCGTGAAGAATACCGAAAATAGAAGCCAATCCAAGTGTTGAAATAACCTATTGTCCTTGACAGGCCGCAATATCGAAGTAGGCTTATTGTCGCATAAGTTTGGGTTTTGTTCGAGTGGAGGCTGAAAGCCAAGTGCTGGCTTGCACTTCTCATTTTCCATGATCATCCGGCAGATTAGCCAGTGTAAGAAAACAATTTTTTTCGGGTGAAAACGTCACAAAAAGCATGACAAGAAGTCTGGTAGTGGTTTTGTGGAACATTTAAGAGAAATTAATACATGGAAACATTAAAATTGGGTCATTTATTTTGATTTGTTACTAAAGATAACTTAACTTCAAAACTTCATGCTTACTGCTTTATATAATTTAAAATTCAATATTATTTAAGTCACCTACAATTGTATAAAAAATATTTATTTTACTTGCAGAACATTGTGATGTATCCCAATCCCAATCTTTACACCTGCACCGCTCGCATTTGGCTACGTGAGATTGGATTCTCATTGACCTACGGAGCTCTGATGCTAAAGACCTGGCGGTAAGAAATAATGGCCCTTTATTAACCCCCAAAACCACAACCAATTCAATGATATTGCCCAAAGGATATCTGTGATTTTCCGAGTTCGTTCGGCAAAGGCTGTGAAAATCACCGATGCCGCCCTGCTGAAGCGACTGGGAATCATCTGTGGGGCCATCGGAACCTGCCTGCTGGTCAGGACACTCGTCTCGCCTCCAGATGTTGTGGTTGGGCGCACTGCCGACGACCTGAAGGCGTTCCTCTGCAAAACCGACTGGTGGGACTACACATTCACCTCGAGTAAGTTGGGGGAATACCTAATTCAATAAGGCTGCAAACCCGGCTTGTTTGCCATCCCAAAGGCCACTCAAAGGCAGCTCTGTCTTTTTGCAAAATGGTGAAAAAACACCGAACGAGCTACTATGTACGCATAACCCATACGCACTGTTGGCTGAAAAAAATATGAATGGCAAAGAGGATATGAGCAATGCAAAGTGCAGCAGGATAAATTCGTTGGCTGGCCAGCTTAAGGCTCAATCCCACGAACACCTGCTGCTCTTGTTAGTTCTACGCCAGATTCAATATTTTTTCTCCTCTTGGCCTGCAGATGTCAACTGGACATTTGCCATGGGTATTAGGGTGGACCGCTTTTTATACCGTAGCCAGTGACAATTTTTCGAGCGTTTTGCGTAGACCACTTTTTATCTTCTTAAGCTCTTCTTAATTCTTTGAAAGTATAAATCTCAAATAAACTTTAATAATCTTTTTTGTTTAAATTTTTGTTTAGAAGGTTTATATATGTTTTTATATTTTGCTACCCGTTGAAGGAAAATTTAAATAACAGTAGAGACTAAACCGAAGTCCACTCCAATCCATATATGAATGATTTTTGCGCTTTTATAAACCAACTGGCGACACAGGTCCGTGCCACAAGCCGAGTTGAAGCGGCAGCAGAGTGAATTTTGCCCGGGAATAACTACGTTCCACTTGCCAGCTTGCTTAATTAAAAAAGTTGAGGAAGGACTCGAGTGCTTCTATCTGCATTTGTTCTTCTGTCTGCCACACACGGACAACAATTATCGTAGATTCGCGCGCTTTTCACGCACTTTGGCAGCAGCCAGCTGCTAAATAACTTCATTTGGCTTGGCTGCAACCCAAAGCGCGTATTTCATTTATAATTGCATGCTTGAACATTTACCAAAAAAAAAAAGTGTTTTGCCTTGGGGGGCAACAAGCAATGAAGAAGAGTATATAACGAAAGCCATGGAAGTTCAGTTGTTCCAACTAGTCTCTTTATAGATTTAATAACGTTGTAGATATTTACTCGCCGGCTGCCTTTTTGCGGGTTTGGTAATTAGACATCAAAGTGAAGCTTGGCAGCCACTGAAATGCTCAGCGGAACTAATCCTCTTCCCATTTTAATCCCTTTTCCAGTGGAGGTCCTGTTCCTGGCGTGGGGCGTTCGGTTGTGCATCATGGTGCGGAAGGCGCCATCGGAGTTCAACGAGAGCCGCTTCATATCGATGGCCATCTACAACGAGTTCCTGCTCACCTGCTTCCTCAACGTGTCCATGTAAGTATTTAAACAAAAATTATTTCTAAGAAATAATTAGCATTTCATCATAATATTCTAATTGGATTTCTGGCCATAGTTTCAATGAAATTCTTTTAGCAGCTTTTCCACATAAGCTGGTTAAAAACCAGTGCACTTTAAAATATTGTTCAATAGACGTGTTTTTATCTAGAACCAAACCCTATTATTCTTTTCTCAGGAATTGCATTTAAGAGCTATTTGCAAAATGTAATTTCGTCAGAAAATTAATTAATTATTGCCATAGCAGATTCCAAGAACCCGTTAAGCTTTTAATCTAAAATTTTCATATGAAGTATTTAATTAAGGATTCTGAGTATTGGTCAAACTTATTTGCATTTTTGTAAGCTCTTAAAGTTTATGTGTATTTAAGCTAAACAAAGTTGTCTTTGTTTAGGCACTAGTAATTGTTCTTTGAATTAACTTTCCTTGAATACAGAACCTTGAAGTGGTTTCCTAGTATTGAAATCAAACAAATGCCATGCCATTTATCTACTATTTCCGTGCGCTGTTATAATGGTAAACCTATTTGACTTACTCGTGTATTTCCAGGCTCTTCCTGCAGTCGCCGGCCAATCCGGATTTGCTGTACATCATATTCTTCTGCCACACGCAGCTGACTGTAACGCTGCTGCTGGCCCTAATCTTTGGCAGCAAGGTGAGTGTCCTCCTGGCCTCGGCTTTTCGGCCTTTCCTGATCCCATATCGCCCATTTGGCGCAGGTGTACATCGTGCTGCGTAGCGGCAAATCGCATCAGGAGAACATCGGTTTGGGCACCAAGGCATCGGGGGCGAAATTCAATTTTCGTCCCCAAGTGCGCACCTTTGCCAATCCCAGCTCGGTGACCACCTCCACCGTCCCGGTGGCTGGCACCACCTCCGCAGGTGAGTCTATAGTTGAGTGGATTCGATAAGAGTGGGCTGCAATGGAGGGGAGCGGAGTGGAGTGCTGCTCCTGCGATAGCGGGCAATTGCCCCATTTGTTCTAATGGTCCCAGTGTATCGACGTTTATGACAAACGACAGTGTCCACTTGACAAATGATCTATGGAGGGGATAAAGTGTGCACTGTAGCACAGATAAAAATTATATAGACTTAAATCATTGAGCTTTAAAGAAGGAAATTATTATTAGTTCTATTTCAGTTCAATATAAAAGTGAGTTAAATAGGTGAAAGTAAATAAGATAAATTATGAATTGAATACTGCATGTTTTAGAATTTTTAAAAATTTTTTTAATAATCTTTGTTTAATAGGTTGATTAAGAATATATTTCCCTTTTTGCAGGAAACATATATTAACATTTGTAAACTGTTTAACTTAGTACTCCGATAAATACTGATTGGAAATTAAGAATTTTAATGCTTTAAAATCTAAAAGGTACAACCGGTTCTTCGTTATTATTTCGAGTGCAATGTGGATGAAGTCCTTTCCCGGGTCGCCTGTTATTTATGGCTTATTATTTGGCAAATTAAAAAGCGAGCGGGACAGGCGTCACCGGCGTCAGTGGCACGCTTATCGCTGCTGTCTAGACATGAGCCCTGGCATATCTGGCTGACAGGCTGGGATGCTGATTTATGTTCTGCCTCCCATGCAGAAGCAATCTTAGTTGCGGTTAACCCGAGATCCATGTGTGGAGGAGGTCCCTGCTCCAGCGGAAGGAAGGAAACCACTCCGGAGCACAAACTTCCGCCAAGTTGCCGACGACGCCATATTTGTTTATCGCTTCGCTGGCTTTGATGCATAAACAACTATGTGAACTCCCGGGGGGCTTCTCCTGCCAAAGGGCGGGCCAGTCAAGTAGACCATCGAAACAGCCAACAGCCCTCCTCCTCATCCTCCTCCCCCTCCTCCTCTTCCATCCACCCACAAAGTTCGGGGGTCAGGTGGACTTCTATTTTTGGCTCGCGGGGATTTTCCATTTCCGTTTGTGTGGGAGTTTTTAAAGCTGTGAAGAGTCCGTAATTGAACTTCGTAATTGAACAGATGCCACGGCAACCGGCAGCCAATAACTTTTGATTTGAATTTAAATTCTGAATTGAAGCAAACTTTTTGGGAAACAGCCATGAGTTTCGTATAATTGTATGGGTTTTAAATTTTTTTATCTGGGGGTTTCCCTACAACTAATTTGATTTGGGAAAGTTTAAAATAAACATAGGAATTGTCAAATTATACAAATAAATAATTGGTTTTGTATGTGTAAAGCAAAATTTGATTTAATCAATTGCTGTAGAACATCGTTAAAGTTCAAGTTACGATGATTGTACAATCATTCCATTAATTTATATAATTAAAATATTTCCCAGTGGTACTACAGTAACACTTTAGGAATTTAATCTTGATGTCCGAAAAGAAAAACTGAAGTACAGAAAGGTTCATTTCGAAAGGAGGTAATTTTCGGGGCTAGGTGCTTTTGGCCATTATACTTTCCTCTGCCATTGTTATCGCAATGTTTACTATTCGTTTTGATGGGGAACCTTTTTAATTTTCGACGCTGCTAGAAGTTTATTGCCAGAGAGCGACGCTTTATGTTTTAATGCTTTATAGGCTCTCAGTCCGACAGAGAGGTTTTTATTTAATTTTTTATTACTCGCATTTCTATTTTAACGCAAAACGTAGCGCATTTTTGTGGCTGCGTAAATTGTGCGTTAAATTTACATTCTTTTTTTTTCGTGCCTTTCGGTCTTGTCTCTGGTTTTTTGCTGGGCCAGTTTTTAAGCGGCTCTCAATTTGCATATTTAAATTGAACAATCACAAAGTAGCAAACACTCAACAGCCCACGCACACACACACACACACACATGTCAAAGCTGTATCTGTGTGGCGAATTTAAAATATTTCGCGAGCGCAAAAAGGAATATTGTGTTGCATACTAAGAGGGGCACACATAATAAATTCAATTTTGGCTACTGCCGACTGCTCCGCTCGCTTAATTTCACAGCCATAAATCTAAATTCAACGGACAATGGGAGAAAAAAGCGGCGGCTTGCTTTTAATACACTTACCGTAAAGAGGGGTCACTAAGCCTGTTTCAATCCGTCAGGAATTTTTTCATTCCGGCTCTTTGCGGCGTCCCGATTTTTGAGAGAGGAAGTGTGTTTTGCCTTTAGTTCACGATTTTCGGTTGTAAATTTATTTGTTTTCCTTCGCCTTTATTTGAAAGTTGATAGCGAGTTGCTTTTGAGTGGACGTGGCTTAAATCATACCGACAGGCTTTCAACTGAATTGAATGGCCATTTATCATTCCGCCAGCGAAGAGGAAGCCTGCCACTTTTCCCGGCCGAAGTGAAAGCCACAACAACAGGGTCCAACTTTGGCATCCACTTCCACGGCGGTGCAAACATTACGCATTTAAATTTGAGGTCCGTTTCGGAGGTTTTTCTGGGGTTTGTAGTGGGGTTCGGGTAGTGTGAAACTTTTGACACGGACAGGCAACTTTTTTAGTGCAAAAGTTGGCAGCGGAAGGCAAGAAGCAGCGCTTTTTAACGCGGCGGAAAATCGTTGCTCGCTTTCAGCCAGCTTGCCACTCACAAAGAAAATCGTATCTCGCCTTTGATTGTTGCCCAGGGTTAACCAAACATTGTGGTTTCTTAGCCACAACTTTGATATTTCCTTTGTTCGTATACAGTTTGTGTATTTTATCCACAACGTAAAAGGTGGTTATGATACTTGATATCGAACCTAAACAAATATTTTGTATATACAAATATACATTTTATAATACTTTCCTTAAAATAAATATATTTTTTGTAGAGTACAGATAGGTAGACCACTTCTGTTTGTTTTTTCTTCTTCTCTACTACATTCCACATACAGATAAACTTTCATAACTCGATTCGTCAACTGCCATTAAAAAAGTTCGAGTTGAGCAGACTTTGAGTTGTAAAATAGGTTTCATTGCTCTCTGCTGCGATAAAAACTAGTTCCAGTTATTGGTGTTTAGAGTTTGAAAAGTTCGAGCTGTGGTCATTTAAATGTACAGCAATATATACACTTTTACTTATTTATTGGGGAAATCTTGATCTCTGTATAAAAACTATATATGTACACACAGAAAACAAGCAAAAGATTTAGATTTAATAACAGGGTTTTACCTAAATGGTATTCAAAATACATATGAAATCGGAAAGGAACCTTCAAAACTTTTTTATATAAAATACATACATTTATTTTTATTATGTATAAAATATATATTTTTTTCTTCCTCCTCCTTATTTTATCTTTATACAGAAACAAAGCTTTCCGACCAGGAGGCGCTGGAGGAGATCCGACAGCTGAGCATGCAGCTGCAACGCATCCAGGAGATGGCTCCGCCGAAAGGCGTGGCGGTGATGACGATCTCCAGTCTGCTGGATGGCCTGAAAACCCCGGGCGGCCTGATGGTGGTGGCGGCGGCCGCGGGGGCGACTGCCCATGGCCACTCGGCGGCCACCAGGCAGAGTGCTCTGCCCCTGCTCGCCTTGAATGTGGAGATGCAGAAGTACAGCCAGCAGAACAACAATGCGAATGGGCGGAGTGGCAGGACGAGTATACCCACGATGGTTCTGGAAACGCCGCCCAGCTCGACGCCTCCGTCGGCTGCCTTTGAGGAGCGGGCGATGAACACGGAGCTCAGTGGCGACGACTTCCGGGAGCAGCTCCTCCGGCGGACCGCCGACGGTCACATCATCTGCAGTCGCTGCTTGGATGCGTCCAAGGAGCACTACTACTGCTGTCCGCCGCGCAGCGCCTGCGATCATCTGGGATCGCCGAAGGACGAGGGCAGCCTGAGCTTCGCCAACATCAAGCTGGAGTGCATGTGCTCCCAGTCGGAGGACCTCGACCAGGACCAAGGGCTGCGCCAACGAAAGCCGACGGTGCGAACGGCGGCCACCAATACGCCGCCGACCAGCTGCAAACGGGCTCCGCGGAATCTTCTGGAGGCGGAGCTCAGCATTTCGTATCAAATTTGTGATAACTGTAGAAGTAAGTACAAGCTGACGGGTCGCCGGCGGAGCGGCAGCTACTCCCAGGCGCAGACGAACTCCCAACTTGGCCAGCAGCCGAGCGGCCAAGTGCAGATCCAATCGCGTAGCAGCGAAATCCTGGATCGCACGGCGGCTGTAGAAGTGGAGGCCGAGACGAGGACCAAGGCAGCTCACTCCACGGATGACATAGTCCTGTTCACCAGTGCTGAGAAGGAGGATAACGAGGCGCATTCCCAGCTGAATCCGGCTGAACCCTTGGCCGCTCCTTCGCTGGGCAATGTGTCCAATGCCTCGAACAATTCCACCAGCGGTAGTGGAGCAACCAGTCGGCCAAAGAGGCCGGATAAGCTCGTCCTGGATCTGAACGATCGGTCCAAGTACACCAAAGAGGTTTCCGTGTAAAGAGAATGAATTTTTCGGCCAGCCATGCAAAGCTGTTCGGCAACAAAGTCCAAGACACTCAACTTTAAAACTAAATGGTTTTCCAAAAGGTATTACCGCTTGTTATGCTGTTTTCCAATAGTTTATCATACTTTTAAACCAAAGATATTGTACAAGAAAGTTTCTAAAATTCATTAACTTTTGTTAAATTTATTCAATGTTGAAGGGTTTGATTTCAAACGAAGATTTCTTTAGCAACCCGAATTAAACCGATTGAGATCTTAGGCAATAAAAGAAACCAATGGTTTTTGGCTTTAAATCGTCGAACAGATTTCGTATTGACTGCCGGCAATCAAAAATGTTTTATGCTTAGGCCAGTTAAATTATCAAAGACTTTATTAAATTACATTTGTACCATTACCTAGATAACTGATTGATTTAGCTAAATGTAGGATATAAGTCAAGCCAACAAAAAAAAAAAAAAAAAACACCCGACTTTAATGAAAGTGCAGTGAAGCCAGGAGTTTTGCGATTTGCAATGCTAAGCAAAATGGTTTGCAACTAAAATGAGCCCCGAAATGTTGTGAATTTATTGGATTTGGCAAACACCAGCAGACGCGAAAGTCAACAACGCACTTCGTTGAAAGTCATGTGTTTTTGCCGGCATAATAATTAAATTTACATTTCCATGTATGTAGATAATTAAATCTAAATTGCTTACTAATTGAAAGCTGCAGCGAGCCATTTCCAATGAAAATGATTTCAGAACTCATAATGATGATGATGGTGGTAAAATGCATTTGCTGTAATATTTATTAAGCCATGTTTAAGTGCCGATCTATTCAAAATGGGAGCCCAACCACACACACACATACACAGAAACATACACACACACATACATTGTTTATAATGGCCACTCTGTAAAATAGTTAATGAAAGTTGATGTGAACTGTAAAATACACATATCTCCTTTAAACTCACTAAATACCTTCCAACTAAATATAGCGAATAAATAATTGTAGTTACAATTAAGCATTAATTAGCTGTCGTACATTTAGCTGCAATATGATAAATATTTCAAAATCAATTCAAAGCTAAACATTTCCCACCCCTTTGCCGAAAATAAAAATACAAATTGCAATTCAGTGTTGTCGCTCGAACAAACAAATCAGAACAACCGACAATTGCATGGATTTATGTACTGTAGTTAAGCGTTGATGTTATTGAGTTGGAATATGTGCATTAAATGCGTTTGTTTAAAGCAATCCAATAAATGGCGAATCTACTGAATGTACACCTAAAAGCTATCTATCTTTGGCCAGATTACAAATTTTCAGCACAAAAACGTCGCTTTTATCTACTCGCAAACTTCATTAGGTAAACGCAGCAGGGTACAAATGGTAATTGCATTTCAAGGGTGAGTATCTTAAAGTTTAGTCGCACACAGAAAAAAAATATGTACATTGAATGGGAAAATAACAATTAAATTTTATATTAAAATTCCCGCTTAAGAATAAAGCTACCCGTGTATAGGAATTTACCATTTAATTTATTAACAGTGGAATGGTTGGAGTTCCAAGGAATGTCCCTTGACTTATACAAATTAGTTATTCACATTGATATTGCTTTTTAATGTTCTAGCATCAAAGGTGATTCCTGGAACTCATTTCCTTTCCGTGTAGCTCAGTGTATCTTTCTATCTTTCGGGTGACTGTAGATGTAAAGTGTTGGCGCCTTTTTGCGCTTTATGAGCACGTTATGGTTTTTATCTTTATGGACATGCCTGCGTGTGACCCTTTTTGCCATTTATGTCTGCCATTCCAGGAATGCCTTTTCAACTTGGGCACACACTAATACACACACATACCGCCACACACAGATACATTTGCTTCTTTACAAGGTTACTGCTTTGAAGGAGACGTTAATTTAAATGTTTTACGGCCTCATCGGATGTTGTTTTGTTTGTACTGCGCTGCTCTGCTCTGTTTTGTTTTATTTTATTTTGTTTTGTTTTGTTTCTCGTTTTCTGTTTGTGTATCAAATTAAACTTCTGCAGTCAGGCAGACAACTTTAGTGTTATCAGGCCAAAAAAAGGACAACCAGGATGCGTGTGTAGGCGGCGTGTATTGAATTTTAAGCACTCGCCGTGGAAAAGTGAAAATTCATTTGGCGCGGCACGTTTCCCGAGTTTTGCCTTAAATTGAATTTCAATCATTACACTACGAACGATACTCCGGAATAAATATAAAATATTTAATATACACCTGCATATCTATAGCAACGAATTCTGTTCCGGCTCGCTGGAAGTTGGGAGTAATTTACAAACGAATTTCATCTTCGCAGTTCGAGCACGTGACAACATTAATTAAACTTTCAGCATATGCGTCAGTCGCATGCCCCCGCGACTCGGCAAACGGAAAATTCGGAAAAAGGCGGAAGGGGGAGGGCAAAGGGAGTGGGGAAAAGTCGGGAAATCTGCTGACATAAGCGCAGACGTAATCGAGGCAGTTTTCGCTTTGAGCCCCGTTCAACGTAACAGATTTTTACTTTTATTAACTTTGCAATGGCGCTGGAACGCGAAATATCGCCATTTATTGGTACATTTCTGAATCCGCCGCGGATTTTAACTATTTTTCATTTAATTGCCCCCCGAAACAAAAGCCCAGTTGAGTGTTTTCATGCCAGCTCGAATCTGTTGTAAATAGCCGATAGCAATTATTTAGAGCTTTTTCGAAAAAAATCGCGATGAATGTATGCAATAAAATCGGAGTACTTTACATTTAATAATTGAATTGGGAATACCTTAATTTAAAACGATGATATTGAGTAGTTTATTAATTTAAGCGGAAAATCAGCGTTTAGAGGTTTGTGCTCAAAATTGTTTATTTAAATGAAAATTAAAAGATCTAAAAATAGCTTTATAACTCTTAATGGGGAAATCTGTAAATAATTGTACTAATTAAAGAGAACTTCATTAATTGTCTTTAAATAGCCGCAAATGAAATGGTTTTAAATAAATTACCCTTGTTATTGATCGAACTTTCCTTTGGGAATGCGAAAGCTTTAAGGGGAATTGAAATCAAATTCCTGGAAAATGTCTTTAAACTTAACGACTTTCGGCCATCGGCTGAGCCACTTGTAAATTGGAGCCCTGGGTTGTAGCATTAAGAGCGTTTAATTAAACGCCTGTTGCAGAAGCGAGTACACCGAAAAGTCGGAGGTAAAAACTTCTTCTCCCAACTGGATCATAAATTTCAAAGCGAATTGAGTGACGGAGCCCGAAAAAGGGCGAAGTATGGAGGCCCTGTTTCCTAAAAACAAAGAAAATGGCACTTACCAGAAAACACAAATTGCTTTCTTTGCCGGCTGGCAATTTGAAAATCTTGAAGACCGGCTGGAGCAGAAATTTATATTCGTACCGATGTGCTGGTCTTTGATGGCCAAATGCTTTGTTTTGTTTTTCGGGCCTGGTCTAAAGCGGTTGCGTTGCGAAGCATTCCAAGCACTTTTTTTCCATCTCTTAATTACGGCAATAAATGCCAATGGCAATTTCTTTGGCATTAAATAAGAACATGTTAACGACCTGGCAAGCCTTCAAAAAAGTGCCTTCGAAATAAAAAAAAAGAGAATCCAAAGGCACACACATGTCCCAGAAACAAAGCCGAAAAAGGGGGGCGGTTGGTGGGCGGGGACATGGCAATAGCAATTGAGTAACAGGCTGCCGACAAGGACCAAGGACACGTGCTGCTGGGCGTGGAGCCAATTAAAATTAAAGGAGCCACCCACGGCTCCTGTGGGCATGTGGGCGTTGTTGTGTTAGGAACCAATAAAATAAAATTGCTCAACACCTTATTAACAGCAGCTGCCTAAGAGCCGAAAAATATAGAAGGCGAAGACAGCAAATTGTGCTTACGGGCTTTTTCTATTCGATTTCAGCGGCTTAAAAAGAGACTGACACATAGCAAAAATGTTGAAAAAAGGAGGGGAAAAACATAATGATATTATTTATTATATTGCGTGCACATTTGACATTTATATTTTGTAACCAAGATAATTTTATATAGCTAGCATTTGGCTTAACATTAAAAAAACGTATAGTTATAATAGGTTTCCTTACTATTTACATCTGGTTTAAAATATTTAACTAAGACCTCTCCCTGTTGTTTTAACACTACATTTATTTTTCGAATTGTGACTCAGAATTGGAAATCCACATCAGGATAACCCAAATCCGGATTGTTGTCTTTAAATGTTCATATTAATTGCATTTCATTGTTTCCGCACTCTTGCCCACTCAAATATTTGGTGCCAGATAGAACTTTATTTTGGGTACCAGCTAAATTCGTTTTGCATATGCAGCAAAAATGTTGCACAAATATTCCAAGGATAGTTGCACACACACGTACGGCGCTCGCTTTTATTTCGTCTGGCACCGAGCTTGTGCAAATATTTATATTCCACATAAAATGCGTTCTAAACTCGGAAAGAAACCCACTCTGCAGGTCCCTCAGTCACCTATTCAATGCAAATGGACTTCTCACAAACATTCAATGTTTTGCCCCAGCTAGATATGAAGTGGGAAACTTTTCCTATGTTCTGGATGTGTATAATGTGCTCTTCGACACTTAAAGCCACGCACTGACACAAACACACATGCAACCGTACTAGACCAGACCAACTCACACAATTGCATTTATGTGCACACGTGAATTGCATTAGAAAGTTGCCAGCACATAAACTAAATCCGCCTCAAGTGCAGAGATCCCTATCTCACGGCTGACAGGAAGGGAAAACGACCACGACAGGAGCCGAGGTGCAGATGGGCCAGGACATTTGCATTAGAGATGAGCCCGTGATCCCTGGCTTCATTAAATATTACATTTTAATCAAGGATGCTACGTAATTTCATGTAAAGTCATTTAAAGTTCCAGTAATGAACTCTACATTTCATTTTAAATAGTCTATTCAATCTATAAATCATAAATATATTTATTTTTAGGAGGCAACTCATCATAATCAAAATGTTTATATACAATTTTGTTTTATTTATAACTCTCAACATATAAACTCTTTATTTTATTTAAAAAGAATTTTTTACAAAAACCAAAGGCAATTGTTATCTTACACCCCTGTTAAATTATTTTCTCATACTTCTTTCAGTGCTTCAAGAAGATCAGTATTCATAGCCCGACTTGCAGCAAATTGACCATGCAACTCAATCTGATTTGTTGCACCACTTAAAGTTACATATGCAGATGCTTGAAGCATATTTTCAACGTTTCTCCTCGACTGAATTTCCATCTCTATGCGGATATATATATGTATATAGTACAGCCATTCCCCGAGTCACTCGCAATGGCTCAGCCCATTCGACTTTAGTTGCTCCGCTCACTTACGTTTATGTTTGGACGTGGCTGACGTGTCAGTTACAAGAAGCAATTGTGCAAATGTGTCGGTTACCATTTTTGGGATGAGATGTGAGATAAGCTTGAAACGCTCCAGCTCCTGGCGGTTGAATAAAGCCGAATAAGGACGAGAATGGCGAATGGCGAATGGCGCATGTGAGTCGGCAGCTGCAGATTGAGATAAGAGTGCGAAACGTTTGCTGACATCAAAAGTTGAAGGAGACAAACGCCGTGCGAATAGTTCCTTGGCCATGCCAATCATGCCAAATGTGCCTGAAGGCTGAAAAGAAGGAATCCGGCTCATTGACTTATTAACTGCATATATGAGTAGGCTTCAGGCCCTTTCTGATTTTTCCATTTAACCACTCGCTGTGGAATTCCCTCGAAGGCTTCAGTTGAATCCGCTCTTAAAGCCATTAAACGAAGGGGGAATTCGAGGGGAGAAGCCCCCTTGAGTGCCCTTAGCTCAAAGGTTATGTCAGTGAACGAGCGTTTAACAGCAGGGATGAAGGAAAAAAGCAGTCGTAGAGTGCCAATTACTGCTCCACTTACCTTTAAAAGCCCGGCTTTGCCCAGCTTAAATCCCAAACAGATTCGCTGAGATCTCGGATCGGCCTTTGCAATAAGTAGTTTTGCTTTTACTACTTTCCCATCGGAATAAGAATAAGAACGAATTATTGCTCAGCGGTATGGAGTCATTAAATTAAGGCACTTCAACTGCGTATACTTAATTTTTTGTCATGCTTTGTTTTTACGGCCACCACCGCACAAATATGTAGAATGGTAAACAAAAAAAAAAATATATAGTAAATGTGGCTGCGGCAAGGCATGAAAATTACGATTTGAGCCACAAAGTCGGCAGTAGAATAAGGCCTACAGATGGGAAATGTGTACTTTCGCTTTCCAACATCCGCACTACAATTCGTAGCCACTTCCGCTTCCGTAAAGCTCCGGTTCGCAATTCGCCATTCGCTATTCGCAATCCGCCGAGCATGTGAACAGCGGCTGCCGTGCTTTATGTTTCATCTTGCGCCGCATTTAACAATAAAAACGTAAATTGTTTGCAATGAAAAGCGCAAAAGGCGGTAATAAAGCGGGCAAACAAGGAATCACACACACAAACACTCTTGTGGGCTGTCAATGTGTGTGTCCCTGTACACCGAGAAAATTCTATGAAGGATTAGAGATGAAAACAGTAAAAGAAAAATATGAATATACTATTAAATTCTTATTAAACAGCAAAAACAAATGAATTACAAAATAGTTTGAATAGAAAACTAAATATTTTGATAAAAATGTATATTATATTATTTTTTATTTATGTACTTTGTTTGCATTGAACTACAATTGGTTATATATATGTAAAAGTCATAAAATCGTCTCTACATTAGTCTTGAGTTCTTTAACTTCAATTAAATTTCAATCAGGATTATTTAATTTAATTACTTTCCAATTTGTTCAAGGTGTAGGCGTGCGTGCCTCGTCTGTTATTACCTAATTGCTGCACTCGAGCACAATACAGGTGTTTGGCCAAGCGGAAGCCAGTCAGATATTCGCAGGAAGCGAGGGGAAGTGCAGTTTGTGGGCAATGTTTAAGCCAATGACCATTAGCGCTCAGATGTTGGCACTCAAAGTGAATGGGCAAACTGTTGGCAGCAGCAGAAAACTCCATGATCGAGACAATGAAATACATTTGCGGCATTAATTGCCCCAACGACATGGAAAGCAACTTGAGCAATTCACACAAAGCCAAATTAATTGTGGCCCACATACAAAGGCTCATGCGTAGTGAATATTTTACGAAAATATTCAGATTATTCAAAAGGATATTAGAATCAGAATATCAATTCCTACTCATTGCGTTAAGCTAAGTTCTATAATTCATGATTACCGAAACATTCTAGAAGTATTAAAACTAATCCCTGTATAAACACCAATAGATGCCACCAAAGAAACCTCAATACATGGTGTGCTGGCCAACGAAGCCTGAAATTAATTGAGAGTGCCATCATAAACATGCCAAACGAGAAAATTTTAATTAATTCCCCAATTGCAAGAGCCGACCGCAGACGTCATTTGTTCATTTGGCAACGATACGATTGCGATTGCGATTGCGAAAACGAATTCATTAAGGGACCATGTATCTTGTGAGATTTGTGACAGCTCCAAGTTTTCCAGCACCGCACTTAATCAATGCTGCAATTTGATATGCCCTGTCAAATTTGGTCAAATTAGCAAGGACACGCCTTGAAAAACGAGAAAGGCTCTAAGGAGAAAAGCCGGACGGGAAAATGCGATTAGCAGAAAGCGGAAGCCATAAGCTATGTTTAACTATAAGTTTGGATGCGCACTCGTAGTTTCCCTGAAACTAATTACTTTGAAAACAGCGAAGATGCCACTTGACACAGCACTAAGCGCAATAACTCTTTCCTAGCCGCTTTCTTTCTGCAACTGCAACTGAAATTGCAACTGCAATTGCAATTGCAACTGCAACTGCGAGCGTGGCCAAATTAAATGGCTGACAAAGTGAGCAGCATCAGCAACCCGCATTCCGCGAGGACCCGGAGCTTTTCTTTCCTCCTTTTTATTCCCTGTCACCAATTGCTGCCGGCAGCAACTGAAACTGGGGGGAAATGAACGCAAGAAGGACATGGACGGACGTGCAAGTGGTAAGTAGAAAGTGGAAAGTGCCAAATGGCAACTGCGAAAAGTTGCTAACTGGCGGTGAAAGTTTGTCATAAATCAGAATATTTTAAAAGTGTTTGCCCTGACAGAACAAGAGAGAGAAAAATGTGAACTGCGGCGGCATAAGCCAAGATTATGGCTGTGAACTTGTAATGTCGAACAGAAACTAACATATGATGGCACACAAAAAAAATCGGTATTCTCCGGGGAAGCGAACTTGTTAGACCCTCGGCGAGAACCAAAAAAAGATTTGAAATAAAATAACCTTTGATTCGGAAATTGATAAAGTTTACACAATTCATTGCCAATAAGTGAATTTCTCGGAAATTGACTGTAAGTGACAAATATTTTACTAAGGCGAAAAAAGGATTCCGTGAAAAGAAAGGATTTTAGAGAATTTAAATCAAATCATTTATCTCTTTGAGATATTTTTCCTAGAATTTCTTGGTGATTTGCATATATGTATGTATATTTATTAAAGAATTTAAATTTGTACTTGTATTTTTAACTTTTTTTATACTTGTATCTTTTTACTCGTTCGTTAAATGGCTCGACTAACCTGACTGATTTTGCTAAATCGCTTTGGCGGCATCATTATGTCCATCAGCACTTTGCTTTTACTCAACTGAGTGCACCCAATGCAGCATTTTAGACCATCAGCCAACCGAATGACTTTCTGACTTTCCCGCCAGCAAATGCCAATTTAAATTCAAATGCAGACTCTGACTTCGAGCTGGAATGACATCGGATGTCCAGTGATTTGCATTTGCATTTGCTGATGGCCATGGCGACGATCTAATCGACTTGGCCAGATAGTTTTCGGATACCACAACAGCTGACAGCTCAAAGCAAGCTGAGTTTGTAGAGAGTGGCGAAACCTTGATTGACATTTCAATTAAATTATTGCCGAAAACGCTACCGCAAGCTGAAGCTGGGGATGTTTCGAATTCAGAAAGTTTTGCTCGACGAACACGAAGAGATTTACGAGCCGGTGCTGGTGGAGAATCCCTTCACCCTGGTGGACATCCAAGGAATGGGACTGCGCCAATACCACATCGGCCTCACCTGCACTCGCCTGCTCTTCGGCTGCGACAACTTCTCCAAGTACGGAGATGTTCCCAATTTCCTGGCCAGAGGTTTGGATCCGGAGATCGAGAGCTTCGAGCTGGTCAGCATGCTGCCACTCCAGTTGGTTCGGTTTCACTTCTTCCGGAAGGCCAATCGCTGCCTGATGATGCTGAACGTTGTCCAGCCTTTTGGAAAACCTCTTTCGGATCACCCGATGATCTTCGAGTTCGGCGGCCACCTGTACAAGCAGCACTTCTGGCACACCTGGCGCGAACGGGTGTCCACCATTCGGGTGATGCAGCCGTTCTACAGCCAGATAACCGGAGCCTCTCCCTTCTCCAGCACCGATGTCCAGCTGGACGAGGAACCCGCCACCACGGTGCAGGTGCATCCTGTGCCCAGGACTCCCTCGGTTTTCAGTGCCTGCCACGCGGGTGCTGGAGATTTTAGGTAGCCGAGCTAAGAGGCTTTCGCCCACCTTCCGTTTTTCCGTTAACAGATTGGGCCTTCAGTTTCTGTTCGGCTGCCGGGCATAAACTTTCAATTCGGCCAGCCGTCTGTTTATTTATTTATATTAAAAGCAACACGCTCTTTCCACCTTAAAATCAGGCTATTTTTGGCTAGTTAAGAAACACATTTTATGCTCGGGGCGAAAAGTAGACCTTTTTAGGCAAAAAAAAAAACCCATAATGTTAGGAGATTTTAAAGTCCTTTTTGGACGGAATCCTTTTGTAGCTTAATGTATATTTCTTTCTTTTTTACTATCAGCATTTTAAGAAAGATTAATATACAAAGCATTCTCTCATCATTATAATTATATTTTTTATACCTATTGTTAATACAGAAAATAAGCGCATTAGACTTTTAAAGTAATAATAATTTAAATATGAATAAAAATATTTTTATGGCGTAAATAATTGTTAACATTTTTTTGGAATTTATAAATGCACTTTTCCACTTAAAACTATTTTTTCGTATATTAAAGCTTCCTTAGTTAGTTGAATACCAGAAGAACTTTTAGCTTTCGCTTTGATTTTCGCTGTTGTTTAACTCTATTTTGGTTTGTTAATGCAATCAGCAGAATGACCAGAAATCCAGCCACAATAGGCGACCGAACCTTCTGGTCGGCCAGCTTGTTTATTTGGGAGACTGGGCTAAAATCGGGTTGATGATGAGTGAGGGGGAGGGTGGCGAGGGGGAAAATGACGACGGAAAAATGTTGTATTGATGTGCCCGGGCTTTGGGCAATTTTTTGGCCTCCGGGCTTCTTGGTCCCCCCGCCTCCAGGGCAAGTTAACCAACAAAGTTTTCAATTTGCCGACAAACTTAAGCCGCAACCACAGCATTTGTCGGGTTTGGTGGAAAGGAAAATTCGGACCCGCTCTGGGTGGCCGAGGAGACTGACGGGGGGGGGGGCAGGATATGTCTGTCTCCGGGTGAGCGTGCAGCTGACACCAAAAATCAATTGCAATGAAATGCTGGGCGAGTAAGAACAACACAGGCCAAACGAAAAAACAACAAGTCGTCATTGGCCGTATTTGGTTTAGGGCATTTAATGGTCAAAGTTTTTCAACTTGTCTGTAATTTATTTGATTTGCTCTGGCTCTGGATTTGGCTTTGGCATCGACTGGAGCTGTGGAGTGTGGAGTTGGGGCTATTTGTCGACTGCCCTGTGCTTTTGATAAATTACAATTTATTCAATGAAATGTGCAGAGTCCCGGGCGGCGCATTAATCATACGCCATGTGGTGCGTTCATACAAATATTGGATGGGAACAATAAGAATTTTAAATTTCAACCCATTTTCGCTTTTCGCGACTTTAATATCCCTTCTCCGCTAAGCTATGCCACAAAATCCCTTCGCATGACGACGGCGAAAAGTTAATTAAAAGCCATGGGACACGGCCGGGAGTCAATAAAAAAAGCATTGCAGCGCCTCCAAACAAAGCCATCAGCGTTAAACATTCTCGTTGAGTTCTACGTTTTTATTAATTTTTAATACACCTGCTGACGCCGGCAATTAAGCGCGGACCTGTTCAATTTCATTTAATTAGCCATAAAGGCGCTTAAAAGGGGGCAAACGAGCTTCTCCTTTTCCCTGTTTGTGGGTGTGTGTGTGTGTTAGAGGGTGTGTGTGTGTGTTGTTTTCCCCGAGAGCCACGTGGTAGACATTCAAAATTGAAATAGCTGCCGGAATCTGCCGGCAGACTTGGGCCACTTGCGCCTGCATTCTAGACATTCCGGCTTTGTTACTCATTTCTGGCCGTTATATTCCATCGACTTGCGGAGTTCAAAGCATCTGAGCAGCCACATCAAAGTCTCGTGGGTAATTGCTTCTCAAAAATTTGAATTTTGAGCACCGAACGACTGGTGGCAGCATTTGCAGCTGCTGGTCGAAGCAAAAATTTCATTTAGGTCGCTCGCCTACGGAATTCATTGACAGCATCGATAAGTAGATGCTACAAATTTTTGCCCGGGCTTCACTGCGTATACGCAATGCTTGAAATCGCATGTCTGTTTGCATGTGTGTGTGTGTGTATGTGTGTGTGTGTGTTGGCCATATTTCATTATCACAGCACATGGCTCACACACATACGGTATGTGACATTTTGTCGGTGCTTTAAGGCTGAGCATTTAAGGCCTCTTTAAAGATCGACCCGCATGCAGCTTAAGCTGACATTGATGGATGAGTCCCTTATATTTATTGAATTCCAACGAGTGTGTCTGAGTGTGTGTGTCTGTCAGTGTGTGTCTCTGCATATATGCAAATTCATGGGCTTAATAGCTAAATGCCGATTGGTATATCTTTGCATAAATCGAATTTATCGCTCGGGGACTTTTAAAAAACAATTGAGATTTACTAAGTTGTGTTTGATTGAATTACTTTTCGCTCGGGTCTCGGCTGGTTAAATTCAATTCCAGATTCTGTACATACAATATAATTGAAGGCTAAGTAACTTAATATTTATCAAATATTTTTATAGGCAAGCCATACCATCTGAAGATTTAATGCTTATCCATTTTCGTGCGTTAAATTGCCGCAGCTCGCGTTTCCAAAAATATTTCTAGTCTTCTCTAATGAATCATTCGAAAATTCACCAAAACTCCTTATCAAAACTAATTCAGAGCACACCAAAGCCAATTTGAATACAGTATGTTTTAAGCTCTTGAATTGCGAGGCTGCTTGAGAACGTGGCGTTAAAAATCTATTATAATAGTGTAATTATACAAAAACTTTATGGCGAGCAAGCTAAATTAGTCATCGGCCGTTTCTGTATTCAGCAACTAAGTGAAATATTTTTAGAAGCGGCATAATGAGGAATGTTTCTCCGTTCTTTGACGTGGCACTAGAAACACCGCCGCCCTCATATGAAGAGGCGATGGGCTCGACTCCAAGTAGACCGACAGAGATTGTGGAGACTAGGTTTCCCACGCAGTTTTGCAGCAGCTCATATGAAATCTGTCTAGAGGATCGTGCACCCGCCGCATATGAGAGGCCCAATAAATGGATAAATGCGGATATCGCAGTGATTTTAGTCGTCATAATAATTGGATCTGTAGTGTTAATTAAAATCAAATCAATTTTAAATCAATTTTAGAAAACAAGTATTATAAAAGTTCTAATGATTCAAAGTAATTGATAATCTTTTGTTTTGTGTTATACATATTTACATACATACATACATATACTAAATGCTTATCAGTTTCTTATAATGAGTAATCAGAATGAGTCAAAAAAGACCGAAGTACATTTGATTTTACTTAAAGGCTATAGTGCCAATAGTAAATTGAAACCCCAACTTTTAAGTTTCCTTGCACTTGGGCTAATTGAATTTGATTTTTACCGGCGACGGGCTCAAGTTTTGAGCGAATCGAAACGTGACGGGAATGCCAAAGGTTTACCGGCCAAAAGAGGTGACCGCAGAAGAGGTGACCCCCATCTGACGGGGGATTCCCCCTCGGTTGTTTGCTAAGCGGCGGCTTTCATGTGGTTGCACCCGCTGAATGCGTGGAAACAAACAGAATTTCAGAAGCAGGAACTTAAGTAAACAAATTTTGTCGCATGCCTGAAAAATTGCTGTTGCATCCTGGTATTTGTTCTTGTGAGTCAAGTGCTAAAGCGACTGCCACGAAGTAAGTAAAAGCTGTTAGTGTTTATGATACAGATGACAGAGAATCCTTGCTCGCACGCATACACACACACACGAACACACACACACAGGTTCCCTTTAGCCAGCGTTAAATTTATTGCATACTTTGCAGGGCGTGCATTAGCGTGGCAACTCGTCACGTCACGAATCTCGCTCGAGCAAAAAGTGCGGCACGAAACTGGAAACTGGAAACTTGAAAGCTGAGCGAAGAGCAGAGACAGGGCAGAAAGCCAAGAGAAGTCGGGCAAAAACGTGACCTGGTGCTGGCATCAGTTCCCCTGATGATGATGGTGCTCCCCATGATGGCCACACATCAAGCCAAACGAGCGACATTAAAATTTAGTCGTACAAGGACTATGCTAAAAAGCGGCCACCATTGGAATAATAACTAGCAGGGGGTTAAGATGTTGAACTACAATTATTTAAATGGATATTAAATGGATATTTACTTTTATGAAACAAACTATGTATATGTTCCCTACATCCATATATTTCTTCTGTTTTCATTCCAATTTATATATAGTTATCTTATTTTGTAATTTATTTCCCTAAAGTTAACATGAGCTTCCGAAATGCCAATTCCTTTGATGGTGTAACCAAACCCATTTCAATGAAACCGAATTTCAAAGCCACTCAAACTCTGAAAACTAATCCTCATTAAGTAAGTACCTTCCGATTTGCTTACCTATCGTCGGCAATAAAAGCCTAAGGCTTCCCTGCTTCCACATTGAGTTAAATGTTGGTAAATCAGAGTGCAATGCAACCTTATTCCGGCTGATTGCTAGAAACAATTAACCCGATTGCTGGGCAAACGCAACAATTTCGTGCTTAAGCTAAACCCACCGGCTGCAATGTGATGTACTTTCGCATTCAAAACCCATTTTCGGTTAGGGGGAAACGCTTTCAAGTGCCGGCAACTGGACCGAAAATTGGCCAACTTGAAAACGCAATCGCATGCAAATCTCTGTGGGAATGGCAAGCCACACCTGGCCCAAAAGGAAAAGCCAACTCCCCGTTCGGTGGCAGGATAAACAAACACAGTGCAAATGGTCGGCAGTTAGGGGCTATTAAAATGCAAAACTTTAGACCCCAAATACCAGCTGGTTGCAAATCTTTGGCCCCTTTCCGGTCCAACGACTACCTAAGGCGATCACTTCGGGCCAAGAGGCGCACTCCAGTTCCCCAGAACCCAGCTCCCAGATAAACTGCAAACAAATAGAGAGTGTCCTCCTTGATTTTCGGCATTGCACAGCCGCTTCGCTCACTTCACATATCACTGGATGTGTTTTCAGCTGCCGTTGCCTGCGAAACGCCTACCAATCTGGATTCCTCGGACGGCATTTAGGGCCACATCCACATTCACATCTGCAGTTAATCCTGGATGGCAAGCATCTGCCGTGCGTGTGAGTGTTTGACCCCCGGTTGCGAAATCGTAAA